GGAAACAGTGGCTAACTTTATTTTTGGGGGCTTCAGAATCACTGCAGGTGGTGACTGCAGCCATGAAATTAAAAGACGCTTACTCCTTGGAAGGAAAGCTATGATCAACCTAGACAGCATATTAGAAAGTAGAGACATTACTTTGCCAACAAAGGTCTGTCTAGTCAAGGCTGTGGTTTTTCCAGTAGTCATGTATGGATGTGAGAGTTGGACTATAAAGAAAGCTGAGCAACTGAACTGATACATGTACGTGTGTGTGTGTGTTTATATATATGTATATATATAGGGCTTCCCACATGGGTTCTTTGTTGCTATATATATAGGTGGTGCTAGCAGTAAAGACTATAAAGAAAGCTGAGTGCCTAAGAATGGATGGTTTTGAACTGTGGTGTTGGAGAAGACTTGAGAGTCCCTTGGACTGCAAGGAGATCCAGCCAGTGCATCCTAAAGGAAATTAGTCCTGAATATTCACTGGAAGAACTGATGCTGTAACTCCAATACTTTGGCCACCTGATGTGAAGAACCGACTCATTTGAAAAGACCCTATTGCTGGGAAAGATTGAAGGTGGGAGGAGAAGGGGATGACAGAGGATGAGATGGTTGGATGGCATCACCGACACAATGGACTTGAGTTTGAGTAGGCTCCGGGAGTTGGTGATGGACAGGGAAGCCTGGTGTGCTGTAGTCCATGAGGTCACAAAGAATCAGACACGACTGATTGAACTGAACTGAACTGAGCAGTAAAGAACCCACATGCCAATGCAGGATACATAAGAGACTCAGGTTCGATTCCTGGGTCAGGAAGATGCCCTGGAGAGGGACATAGCAACCCACTCGAGTATTCTTGCCTAGAAAATCTGATGGACACAGAAGCCTAGTGGGCTATAATCCATAGAGTCATGAAGAGTCAGACACAACTGAGATAACTTAGCTTGCACACACATATGCGCATATATATATATATATAATATTAAATACACTGAATAATGTAAAAGTAAATTTTGAAATCAGGTGTCCATGTCCTATTCCCTAGAGCTTAACCATAAATCTAGGAATAATCTTCACATGTTTTGTTTGTTTTAAATGTTCTTGATACTTTCCCCTAAGCATCTTTGCTGTGGATATCTTTGCCACAGGCATTTTGGTCACATTCAGGTTTTTTGTTCACACATACTACAGTACTACATGATTGCAGTCAGTGGAATCTGCCAGTGCAGAACTGCAGATTCAGAGGCCAACTGTCAAGTTATGCATAGGTTTTTGACTGCTTGGGGGTCGGCACTCCTAGCCCACAGATTGCTCAACTGTATGTGGTTTTTTACTTATTCCGTTTTCTTCTCGTTCCACGTTGCACTTAGTCTTTTTCACTAAAATTTCTTCCTTAAGAGAAGTGTCAGTTTCCAAATACTGGGATGCATGTTTGTAACCAAGCTTTGTATTGTGTTGTGAAAGCTTTCTTCTACATTGTTGTTTCTGTCACATGTCTGTTGGTAGACATTCCACAGTTCTATGAGAAATGTGGGATGAGTTCTGCCCCTTTAAGGCCCTCAGCCTCTTTCTCTTCTAATGTGTAGTATATTCCAAAATAAGAAGCCAGATCATTTTGGGGCAAATCATCCTCATTTGTCAGGACTTCCTTGGTGGCTCAGACGGTAAAGCGTCTGCTTCATTTGTCAGCTCAGCAAAGCCATTGATGATGTTGCCAACTAGAAGAAATGGTAATATACTTTGAAACCAGTTACTTTATCTTTGATGGCAAAATTGCCTTATGGGCAGTAAGTTATGTGGCAGAAATTCTTGCTGCAAAGAAGTCAATGATAAAGATGCTTAGGGTGAAAATGGCAGACATGGTTTTAAGCTCCACAGATGATTCCACTGTGACCAAAGGTGAGACATGATGTTATGAATTCATTCCTGGTTGAAAATCAATTTCTGAATATTTAAAAATCATCAACAGTCTATTTCTATATATTCAAAGCTTATTAACAGAGTTTTTGTTTGTTTGTTTTTTATGGAGTTTTTCCTTACAATTGTTTAGATTTTTTTAAGTGAGTGTTTATGGTTTATTTCTTTGTTTCTACTTTTTAAGTGTTTATCTTTGAAATACTCATTCCTCAAGATTCATAATATTTTTAATGGTGGGCAACACTGTTTCCTGATATTCAGTGGCAATATTTAATATTCTCTCTGGCTCTTTTTTTCAGGCCACAGTTTCTGTTACTTCACTTTGTGAGGACCCTTGTTTTCAGAGAATTCCTAAATGTCTTACCAAACACACCATATAATCATGAATAGCAAAAAACTCTTTTTCACAGACTTGTTATTACATTTCCTTTCCCTTGGAGAATTCTGTAATTTCTCAACCATATAGATGAATATAGTATGTAAACATTTGCTAGTCCAGAAAGTTACTTTGTTCTTTATCGTCACTGATGGCTTTCTAGATTGGTACGCAATGTATATCTTAAATAAATATTCCTAATACTCGTAATTTTGCTAAGCCATTAATTTTTTATGTTTTCTTCTCTCATGTTTAGTTGTGGGGACTTCTGGTTTGGTCAAAACAGTATTAGTGATCCATATAATTTACCAAACGTAGTTTCTAGGGGGAAGTGTTTCTTGTCTTGCTTCCTGTCTTCTATATAATCCAGACCCTGATACCTCTCTCCTGCCCCATAGCTTCTGCCTTCTTTAGGAGCTTGCTCTGTCTCTTTCTGTTCCAGTCCCAGCTACTCAGTGCTGTCTGCATTATCCTTTAAAATTGATCATGTTTGTGCCTTGCTCTGGCACCCCTTGTCTCTCCCACTTTGGATATAGAATAATATGAACCACTAGTGTTTATTTGATCACAGTGCTGAGTGTTTTATAGTCATCACATAATTTAATTTTGACGAGAACCACTTAAAGCTAGTACTCATGGGGACTTCCCTGCAGGTCCGGTGGTTAAGAATCCATGCTTGCTCTGCAAGAGGCACAGGTCCGATCCCTGGGAACTGAGATCCTGCATGCCATGTGGTGCACCAAAAAAAATAAAAGCTTGTACTCTTACTATTCCTAACTTATAGACAAGAAGCTGAGCTTTGAGAGATTAAGCAGCTTATCTAAGGTGCTATAGTTTGTAGGTTGCAAAGCTTGAGAACCCAGCTCTGCAGATGGTGAGTTTCTCTGTTTGTATGGTCCATCTGGGGCTCTTGTGTACATTTTTGCCTTTTTTCTATCCCTGCTCACCCCACCCCCAGCCCCCGTCACCTCATTCTCCAGTCGTCAGAGAACACTTCCCTTCTATCATTTACCTTATACTTTCTCAGTGATGACCCTTACATTTTCACTTTCTGCCCATGGAAATCTTGCTTCTCTTTTTATGATTCTGCTCAAATAGCACTCTTAAAGGGATAGTCTGTCTTTTTTATTCCCTCTTCTAGGGTTTTTTCATTCTTGGCATTTCTCTTATCATGTTATATATTTGTTTTATTTCTCTTTCTACTAGATTGTAAGCCCCTGGAAGGCGAGGACTGACTCTTACCTTTACACACCATAGGACTATACACTTACAAGACATGTAAAAAAATTTTTTGACTTTTTAAAATGAGTTTTACTCATACAAATATTTTGTTAGAGATTTTATAAAGATGGAATATGGAGTCTTTCTGTTATTAATTCTTAAGAATTGTTGCAACTAATAAAAAAAAATTGTTGCAACTAAGGTTGTATTTTAGTTGCAACTCAGCTTTACTCTCCATTAGATGTTTTCTAATTTAATAATTAAATAAAATTTAGTAAACTTAAATTTTAAGTTAAAATTTAATGAAAATAACTTGATTCTGTATTACTCTTTTCAGTGGAAAATTCTTATGCTGTTAGATCTGTTTACAGCATGTTATGAAGTTATAAAAATATCCATAACTCAAATATTGAAAAGAGATATAGTATTATAAAAATTCTAAATATTTCTACACTTTATTAACTTAGGTTTCTTAAAATGCAAGTAAACTTTAAAATTTCTTATTAAGTCATTATTTTCAGTTCCTAAAAATTTAACTTTTTCCCCCAGAATTGAGACCTTTTTAGAGATTTATAGAAGAATTTTTAATGGGAAAATTAAGGCCATAAAGTAAGATGAACTAGGTTGGTATCTGCACCTAAAATATATGCTATAAGATCCTTAATTGATGTAGAAGCGGGCTACAAGTTTGACCTGCCCTTTTTCAGGGGGCAAAGTAAACAGGAAAACCTGATGAGTTACATGATCAAACTGCTCGTTACAAAACCAACTGGATCTGAACAAGGAAATATCATCCAAGGTCAGGATATCTTATTTAGAGGATACAGTGAGTTGACTCCATAAAGAAGATATTAAATTTGGTAAACCATCAAGATGTAAAAGTTAAGGGGAAGCATAAATGACAGTTGATTACTCAAGCTAGATTAGCGTGGTGATTGAGCACAGGGAATATGGCTAGACTGAGAAACTCAACTTTTAATTTTATTTATTTTTAATTAGCTTAAATTTAAATAACTACACATGTCCATACTGAACAACAACAATGTGGCTGGTAGTTGACTAGATGGGAAGCTCAGTTCTAAAGGACAGGAATGACTGCTCATCTCTCAGTCTTTGTAAGAATAGCACTGAGTTGAAGATTTTATTTTTCATTAATAACTGAGTAAAGAAATTCTGCACTTCTAAGAGACAAATGTTTTAAGATATCAGTAATTATATATATTGCTTACTTTTATATTTTTGAACCTGAGATTTAACCAGGGTGCTTGAGCACATGGTTGATCTTTTTTGGATATTAATAAAATTGTTGGCAAATAGCGTTTCCAGAAGATGATGAGTTACAGGGAGGCATGGCATGCTGCAGTTCATGGGGTTGCAGAGAATTGGACACGACTTGGCAACTGAACAACAACAACAAAAGTACATTTAAAATTATTACATAAGATTGAGACATTTACTTATGAAATGAGTATACTGATACAGGACTGTTTTCCTACAGTTTCCAGAGTGTGGATTCTTTGGCATGTATGACAAAATTCTTCTTTTTCGCCATGATATGAACTCAGAAAATATTCTGCAGCTCATTACCTCAGCAGATGAAATACATGAAGGAGACCTAGTAGAAGTTGTTCTTTCAGGTAAGTAAATAGTTTCTTTCATTTTGTTGCGTTTTTTCCCCCTCCAAAAGAGCCTTTTTTTGGTGGGGGGGCAGGGGGTGGACTTCAACTAAATGCTATATTCAGTTATACTTTGTAAATACTATAGTTGCTTACTTCTTTCATCTATAATAAGGTTATTATATGATTTTTACTTTCAGGAAGGTTACATCACAGATGAGAAAATAGGAAAATAAGAAACAAAGTGTTAGTCGCTCAGTTGGGTCCAATTCATTGCGACCATAGCCCACCAGGCTCCTCCATCCATGGAATTCTCCAGGCAAGAACAGTGGAGTGGGTTGCCATTTCCTTCTCCAGGGCACCTTCCCAACCCAGGGAGGGAACCCACGTCTCCCATATTGCAGGCAGGCTCTTTACCATCTGAGCCACCAGGGAAGCCCCCGGGAAAATAAGCCCTGAATTGAAGTGTTACTAAGCTAAGGGAATTATCAATTGAATTGGAAGAGGACTATATTCCTCTTTTATATTTCCTCTATATTCCTCCAAGGAAATTAAACAATTACACTGAAATTCTGTTTCCTTTTCCCATTTCTGTGACCATTTGGAGAAGAAAATCAAGAAAAAAAAAGAAATAATAAAGATGTGGAAGAGGAAATTGCAATATTGGTTGATTCCATGACTTAAACAATGCTCCTTCTCTTCTTTTTCTTCGTGGACATTTTCTTATTCTCTCCTTTCCCCTCTCACCCATTCTTGCCATCCGTTGTTCCTTAGCCCCTGCTATTTCTTACCTCATCCAACAGCGGGTGGGCAGGATAGCTAGTGAGAAGTATCAAGGGATAAAGAATGTGTGTAGTAGGCCTGTAGAACTTCTGTTTGGCAGCAAAGGAAAGAGGGAGGGAGAGACATAGAGGGACGGAAAAAAGAAGTAAAGAGATGGGAGAGAAGGAAAGGAAGAAAAGCCCGGCCAAGAGTCCAGCATCCTGCCACCATTTTTTTCCCTCTTCCCAGTTTCATCTTTGTAGTCTGGAGATTCTTTCTGGTCACCACCTTTCCTTATTAGTCTCTAATCCTTACTCTTTATCTTCTCCACTACAACCCCAAATTCTGAACACATCTCAGCCCTTGTCTTCCTTTTCATTGTAGAGGGGCTTTACTCCCTATCTTCCTAGTGGTCATGCTCATTATCTATTCCTTCTTTGCTCTGGAGCCTACGTCAGCCCACAGGGATATCCTTAGTGACTTGCAGGTGATGTTGAAAGGATGTCTGATGATGGATGCATCTGCTTTGTTGAGTTGCACACAGAGGGGAGAAGAGTCTTTTTCCTATACACTGGGACTGTGGAGGACAGACAGAGTGTATCCTGGGATCCTGAATTAGGACTGAGTGCATTTCTCCCAGAAACATTGCTATAAGTTAATGTTCTATAATTTTTTTAAATTTAGTGTTCTATTTCCCAGTACATTATAAGTTAAATAGTTTTTAATTAGCTAAAATAAATCTGACAATTATTTGCAATCTAACTCCAAGAAAATGCTTTTGGAGGTCAAAATACATACTTTTAGAGATCAAATTATTTTAATTGGTCAGTTTCCTAAAATAAAGTTCAAAAGCCATGATATTAGTCTTAAAATAATTTTTTATCGATGAAAGATGAAAGTTTCAGAAAAAGAAAAATTCTGCATGCTTTGACATAAGTGACTATGGTCGATGTTCTTAATCTTATCACAACTGCAAGTATAGGGTTTATTTGAATATTTCCCTTATTTTTAAAGCTTTGGCCACAGTAGAAGACTTCCAGATTCGTCCGCATACTCTCTATGTGCATTCTTACAAAGCACCTACTTTTTGTGATTACTGTGGTGAGATGCTTTGGGGATTGGTACGCCAGGGACTGAAATGTGAAGGTATGTGTTCTAAATTTTTGGTAATTTGAAATAAGTTTTCACATTTGCGTTCTTTAATCATCAATGAAAAAATAAGATCATTGGTCAGTGACTAGATAGTACCCAAGGTTTAGAAGCAGAGCAATCTGGTGGTTCTGTGTTAGAATTGCCAGGGGGGTAGGATGCAGGTGCACATCTGATTAGTCAGTAAACTTGTTCTCTAAAGGACCAGAGGGGGCATGCTGGGATTTTAAGTTTTGCTGGCCATGTGGTCTCAGTTGCAGTGGCATAACTTTGCCATTGTAGCATGAAAATAGCCATGGGCAGGTGGTAAACTGTGAGAGTGCTGTATTCCAAAAAAATTATTTATGAGCACTGAAATCTGAATTGCATGTAATTTTCACATGTCATGGTCCACAGTTTGCTGAAGTTACTTAAGCCAGTGGTTCTCAAACTTTACTGTGTATTAGAATCACCTTGAGGACTTGCTGAAACATTACTTTGCAAGGCCCCATCCCCAAAGTTTCTGATTCAGTAGGTCTGAGGTGAAGCCCAATAATTTATTAGATTTCTAACAAATTCTTGGGTGCTGCCTTGGGGAGCACACTTGAAGAAACCACTGCTTTAGCTAACCTAACTTTTCTAAATAAACTTTTCTACACATTTCCTATTCTTCTTAGCTTGTTATCTGGGTTCTTCATTAGGATAGCTACTGCTGCCAGAGAAAATAAAAGAAGCCCCAGTTTGTTTTTTTAATGTATGCACTTAGATGTTTAAGTTAAAAAACTTTTTTTTTAACCTTTTAAAATATATTTAGGCTGTGGATTAAATTATCATAAGCGATGTGCCTTCAAGATTCCAAATAACTGTAGTGGTGTAAGAAAGAGACGTCTCTCAAATGTATCCCTGCCAGGACCTGGCCTCTCAGTTCCAAGACCCCTGCAGACTGATTATGTGGCCCTTCCCACTGAAGAGGTACGTACTCTTAAGATAATAGAGGGCATTTTTACCACTTACACTTTATGTTTCTACTTACTCTTTATGTTTCATCCTAAATCATAAGTTATATACTAAAGAACAGTAGCATTCCTACACTTAAGAAACTTAAAATGTATCACTGTAATCAGGGCTGACCAGTAGCATGTTGTATACTTTGAGATCACCTTATCACTTGAACCACAAGATCAGTCTCCTGACCAGTATCCTGACTCCTACTCTCTACACTGCACTACAGCTTAATAGTCAACAACCAATTAGATCACTTCTTTCAAGGAAACGTCTGTATATGCTGCATTTCCGACAGTCTGTAGTATTCAGCGTTCCCTGAACACATCCTTTCTCCCCACCCCCTGTATCTGCTCTTGCTGGTATCTATCCCATGTGCTTTTTCTAGACCTGGATTCCCCTTTACCTAGAAGTTATTTTTCTGAATGCCATACCACTTTTCAAACTTCCTTGATGGTGTGTATAGCATTGTACCATAGTATCACAGCCTTTGTATATTAGATTGTCCTCAAGGAGTTTATCTTTTTAGAGAAGACAGTACTCATGTCTTTCTTTGCCCCACCATGCCCAGCTCCATACCTTGTACTTTAGTGGGCACTCAGTCATAAATGAATGAGTGTTTGAGTGACATCACTGATCTTTAGAATATTCCAATGAGGTCTGTATACTGTGAGATAGCTGGCACTCAGAATTATCAAGTGACTTGACTGAAGTCACAGAAGAAATTAGCAAGCAATATTAGAATTCAACCCAGATCTGCTTATGTGTAAATCCATGATTTTTCCGCTTATATTGTACCCCTCAAGGGTAAATGTAGTAGATTGGGGAATAAAGAAATAACTGCCTTACTTATTTGGTACTACTTTAAATGATTTCCATCTGTAGATTACAGTCTTAATTTAGTTATTTCTGAAACCTCTTTGGCCTTCTGTATATTAATGGCAAAATCAAGCCATTGGACTGTTGTCTTGACAGCTTCATCACAAGATTTCACTAAATTGAGGATCTAAAATAGAAGCTTCTGAAATTCTTTCACAAAAATCTCACGTTTCCATATTGCATAGCCCTAGCATGACATTTTTAAAGTATAAGATGACTGCCGTAGCATTAGAACTGAGAATGAGGAGTTATTATAAACACATACGAAAGTTTAGGGAAAGATTAATGCCTTTTACACACAAGCTACACAGGGAAACCTGGCTCGAATTGGGGACTGTAGGATGAATGTATGTTGTCTTAAGAACCCCGCAAACAGTACTGCTTTGTCAGCCATACCCACTGAGTATTATAAGATTAGGAAATGACAGGACCAAGCAGATGAATAAGGTATTCAGTTTTAATTTATTCATTTTTATTTTACCCGGAAGATGAAAATTCTTTAGAGAAGTGTAAGGAGAGTGGTATGTTTAAATTGGATAGATTGTGCAGAGTGTTTTAGAACAAGTGGAAACTATAGTAAAGAATACAGTCTCAAAAATGAAGGTACATACAGTAAGAAGAGCTGAGAGCTCATGGAGGAAGATCAGAGGGAAGGAAGAGTGGTAAAAGTGGACAGTGTAAAGGAGTGAAGGAGATAGTGAAGAGCTGGGAGCATCCTGAGTCTGAACCGGGTTTAGAGAAAAGCTCGCTCTCAGCAGCTGTGCAGGAAGAGCCTCGTAACTTGTCCGGTGCCAGTCTTCATGCTGGGATGCTTTACTTATCTCTTCTTGTGTAATCCTCACCACAGTCCCGGCAGGCATGGAGCTGTTGTCTTGATTTCATAGATAAAGCATGAGGAAGAAAAATTTCTAAGGAGTCAAAATATTAAACTTCACTGACTACTGACATGATAGAAGGCCAGTTTCAAATAGAAGCCTTTGAATCTGACCCTGGGGTTGTCATGTAAGGAGGCAGTTTCTGTCAGTGTCTGAAATCAGCATAAAGGGAATCAGGTAAAGAGGTGTAGAGGCAGAAGAAAACAGACTGTTGACTGAATTTGGTTAAAATGGAACCACAACGTTTAGAGAAACCAATATTGAGTGATGGCTGTTTGGAGACAAGAGAGATTAGTGTTCATCTCATTGCATTAAGGAGAAAAATTTTTTTTTCATGCCCCACTGCGTGACTTGTAGAATCTTAGTTCCCTGACCAGGAATCAAACCTGCATCCTTGGCTGTGAAAGCATAAAGTCCTAAGCACTGGACCAACGGGGCATTCCCCATTTGGGAAAATTTCTGCAGTACAGAATCAGGGTAGAAAGAAATTCTTGATTCTTAAGTATACACATTAAAAGTGGAGATACTTCTTTCACTGAATAATCTTCCAAAGTCGAATATATATAATTGAGGAATTGCCCCCTTTAAATTTTTTATATTGCCTTTATTATTTTATATGATTGAGAGTTGGCAATATTGTTATGAAGTTTTTATGAGCAATTCAGCCAAAATTAGTTTAAACACGCATTGTGGAAATAATTAAATTACTTTCAGAAAATTTCTGGCTACACATCAATAAGAAAGAAAGAGTTTAAGCTAAGAAGTAATTTGTAAAGAGGGCCATTAAAGCAAGGTAAGAAAAGAGCGTCCACTCAATTCTAGTTACCCTCACTGGTCCCGTTTTAGCCAAGTGCTCTAGGCAATTCTACCAGCATTCTCCATCCTCCAAATGCTGATTAAGTCTGTTGTACCTTTCTTGCCTTCTTCACTCAGTAGGTGGTAAACCACTATTATTGGTTAGATTGCAGTCTGCCCAAGGGTGTTCAGATGGGGAAAAGGTTAAGAATCACTGTACTGCTAAGTAGAAGACCCAGGTATAACTCAGGTCAGTCTTTCCATGTGTATGTTTTAAGCTTGAGACACAGACTAAATGGTTGAAGCAGAAGCAAGAGAGACACAGTGTTGAGACACCACTAGACTAGGGGCCCAGGGATAAGCAAAAGCTGAAGGCATCCGTTTCTAGTTCCTGCTGGCTGCTTTATCAGCTCTGAGGAATCACTTCAGTGTTCCTTTTGCTGACGGTGCTCAGTACGTGGAGGAGGGGTGGGCCAGACTAGAGCAGGACACCATAGACAGCTGAAGTCTGCAAGTTTGGTTTGGGTTTTAACATTCTTTTTGTACTTTTCTTTAACTGCTTCGTAATTTGCTTAAGAACGTTTCTGGCTACACATTATTGAAAAACTATCCTGCAGGGGCTGTATTTGTGTTGTTTTTATAGTGTTTCCTCCAGTGGTCAGTCCTTTTCTTTTTTCCTTCCTCCTACTTCCTTCAGAAAAAAAAGCCCTTTACTTTCTTCTCCTCTCATTTCTCCTGTACACTTCTCTGTCTTTTTATTTCTTTTGGCTTCTGTTGGTTGAACATATCAATGTACAGTGACTCAATTCTGAGTTACCCACATTACTAGTTAGAGAAGGCAGTCCTGGCAGTGAAGGATGCAAGCAGCTACAGCAAGATCTGTGGTGCATCTAGATGGCAGTTAGATATTTGGGTTTTGTCCTTGAGAATATGGACTGTATTCATTTTCATATTTCCAATACATAGTGTAGGACAGTCAATGAATGTTGAATGAATGTGATGAGCTATATTGATCTGACCTGGAATTAAATTGATTGTTTCCTTTGTATACATAAAAAGGGTCATAGTTTAAAAGTCCATTTATCCCTCAAACAACACAAAAGTTTTTAACCAACACCTTCTTTAATTTTCCTTTTTGCTCACCTGAGAGGGAAAAAACCAAATAACTGGAATATACTTAAAATATCAAGGAACTTCTTAAAGCATTATTACTAAGGGTAAAGTTGTTTTAATTTGCATCTGCCATTATTAATGAAAGATTCTTTAGTATTTATTAAAACAGATTTAAAAAACTAAGACTTGTTTTAAAATATTTTCAGACGTTGTGTTCAGTAGCTCAACATGAGCAGCACTAACCCTTCTGAATTTACTTAATTTTCCTGTGATTAATTTCTTGGTAAGGAATTTGAACATATTATAAACTCATTTTAAGGTTTTGTTTTTTATTTGTGAAATGTCATATGTGCCTGGCAAATAATAGTTAATCAATGGATACATGTCTGTGAGGATGAAAATACCTTGCATAAATAATAGCAAAAAAAATTCTACACTTTCCTTATTCGAGGGTTGGTAAGTTAAGCTTCCAAGGGAAACTGCTGAGATCCACATTTTTTTATTTGTGGCTTTAGTGTTTGAAATAAATGACTTCTGTGGTCAAACCCTGATCTGAAAACTTTGTTTTTAATATTGACTTACATTATGGAAATTGCTTATGTTTTAGTCACATGTTCACCAAGAACCTAGTAAGAGAATTCCTTCTTGGAGTGGTCGCCCAATCTGGATGGAAAAAATGGTCATGTGCAGGGTGAAAGTCCCACACACGTTTGCTGTTCACTCATACACCCGTCCCACGATATGTCAGTACTGCAAGCGGTTACTGAAAGGCCTCTTTCGCCAGGGAATGCAGTGTAAAGGTAGGATTGCATGATTTTCTGAAGTAAAATTCATATTTGTTTTTGTTAGCAATTATAACATCAAATACTTTTTACTTCAGAAGGCTTAAGCAAATAAATTGGTCTCATAGTTAAAAAAGAAAAAAGAAATACGCATATATGTGTATCTATTGACAATGACTGGTATCTGCAACATGTGTATTCTGTACCAGGAGCTATGCTAAAGAAAAATTAGTGTAAACAGAAAAACTAGAATTTGAATCCGTGAGATGTGGCTGCTTAACAGTTGTCAATATGGAACCGTTAGTGAGCAGGTAAGCTAATATTTGAGCTTAAGTCTTTGTGATTCCAGAGCCAGACATTACCCAAAATATAAAATAATGCCCTCCTCTTTCCATTAAATGGAATCACCAACTCAGTGGACATGAGTGAGCAAGCTCTGGGAGTTGGTGATGGACAGGAGGCCTGGTGTGCTGCAGTCCATGGGGTCGCAAAGAGCCAGACACGACTGAACTGAACTTTCCATTAAGTATTCATACACACACACATCAACATGTTACAAGAGTTTTATTGTTGCTTTCATTATGTGGCTGTGAGAGCTGTACCAAAATTGTCATTCTAAACAATCACACTGAAACAGGCAGAAATAGTAGAAGCCACTGGAATTATAATGGGGACCATCTATATTTGGTTACTAAACCAAAACATTGTCATAGAATTCCAAAAACATCTCTAATGAACTAGGTTTTTAATAGAGTAATGGTTTCCTGTAGTTATGTAATGTTTCAATGCTTTTAAAAGATGCTTTTATCTTTTTGTCTTGCATCTTCTCAATAGTGCTGCACAATTATGTGAAAACCAAAATAGAGAGTTTAAATCTGTTATTAGACATTAAGCCAAGATAAGATATAAGTAATCTGTCTATAATCTTATGTACTTATTTTTCATGTGATTACAGTAATTATCATTACTTCTTGATACCATACTTTTTATGTAAAAGTATTTGTGGAATTGAATTACCTAGTTTTATCTAGGTGAAACATTGGAATTGAGATCTTTGCAACAATAAGTCCTGTTTACAGTGTTGAATTAAATAATTTATGTGTAAATTTAATTTTTAAGTATATAAGAAAACTTTTCTTAGCAATATATGGCTACATAGGAGAATATCAAATAGAGAATACATTGTATATTTGTTGCCAGTATTTAATAACCATCAGGCAAGCTTAATTAAATGTTGAAATTTTATTTCAACAGCTTACTTTTGAATATGAGTTAATATATAAATTAATACTTTAAATATCAACACTGAAGTGTATTGGCAAGCAGCCACTAAAGAATGTTTTAGGAAAGAACATTAAGAACAGATGTACAAATTCTGGCCAGCAGATAATCTTAGTGAAGGTAGTAAATATGCCTTTCTGCTGAGTAGAACAGAAACATCCTAAAACTGCATGCAAAAAAGCACAGTACTTTTTAAAAGAATGATTAAATAAAATGTGTATGTAGATTAATGAGTTTTGAATAAAATCAGTTAACTATATGACTGGCTTAGTAGTTTAATTTCTTAGAGCTTGAAAAGAATAATGTTTTATGCTTATATTGGTTCAGAAAGTATCAAAAAGTCATAATGTTATTCAGTAACCCTTGTATTTTTACTTCAGAAGTAAAATAGATATTTTCGTTCATTTGTTAAGCTAAGAAAAAAAATAGTTAAACCAGTTACGCAGGATCATTTGAGAAAAAATATACAAGAGCAATTAATTTATTCATTCATCTGTTTTCCACTTTGTTATATTAAAATTTCAGGGCAGCTTATATAAGCATATATAGGATAAAGGAAAACACAAATAATAAAAAACATGGGCAGGAATATAGAGAAGTATAAATGGCTGTCATTAGAACTACATACTTGGTGCATATGGATGGTAACCTTGGCTTTACATTTCAGAGGGAAAGGGAAGCCTTGTTATTTTCACAATTTGCAAACCTCATGAGATAAAAAAACAAATATTTAAATGTATGCAAGTGTTAATATTAGTGTCACATGAATTTTCCTAGGGCCTCACCTTTTTGAAGACATTATTACATAATGCAGGTTTTCTCATCCACCACATTATTAATTTCATAGAGCTTTTTCTTATAATGACCTTTCTGTATTCTACTGGCATGATACCAAGAGTGTTCTTTAATTATAGGAGTTACAAAATTATTCTAAGTGAGGACTTGAAATTATTTTTACCCATTTATTGTTGGTAGAATTATTTTGAAGGTGGTGATAGAGAGTAGTTACAGCAGTGGTTTCAGTTTTAATGTTAACTGAAGAAGTCATTAAAGTACCTATTTCTCAACCTCACTCCCTGAGCTGCTGACGTAGTAGATTAGGGGTGGGGCCCTAAAAAGATCGTGCATCTCAAAAGATGCTGTTGCTCCGGGCCTGGTGACCACAGTTTGAGCACCATGAGTTACACAGTGGTATTGAACAACTTGGACCTGACTGACACTCATCTGCAGTGCAATCAGCTCTGAGGTTCTTGCAGGCTGAAGAGAGCCATTATATACTACAGGTGAGGGACCTTGTGGGTGAGAAGCTCAGTCCTTTCTTACATGGTTGTCTGGGAAAGCTCTTACTAATTCCTAATAAATGGTTGTAGCATTGCAATTTCTTTTCTGCATATGTACCAGGTCCTAATAATTAGGAATTGAAAGTAACTGCCTGACATATGTTGGAAAGGAATTTAATCAGCCTGAGAAACTGTTTAAGGGGGATGTGGAAAGAAGAATGTGACGTAAGGGAGAGAAGCATGGATCTGCAGCAACATTTTGGCAAAGTGTTATACAAGTGGTGTAGACTTCATTTTACAGATAAAGAAACTGAGCGCTGAGGGATTAACCAACTATTAAGAGGTGGTATCAGAATATGAAACCAGACCTTTAATCCAAGACCTGAGTTCTTATAGAGGAAATATTTATTATTTCATCATCATTATTAATAATACTATATGTGTGAGTAAAGAAAGTCTTTAATCATATCTGATACTGCCTGACTTTTTATATAAATTAATAAGATGAATATTTTATTTTAGATTGTAAATTCAACTGCCATAAACGATGTGCATCTAAAGTACCAAGAGACTGCCTTGGAGAGGTTACTTTCAATGGAGGTAAAAGTCTTTTTCTTAATTTCCAGAGAAGATCACAATTCTTTTGTGTATTATCTTTATATAAGGTTATATTTGGATATTTATTTTGTTTACTTTGTTTCTTTGACTTTTCTCTGATTTAATAATCAAGTAAAATACAGATATCACTAATAGTATACTTTTATTTATGCCTTCTGGTCTCCTTTAACCACCTACCACTCTGTAGTCAAATGTGGCAAATGGTGATGCGTATTCTTATTTATCTTTAGACATAGCAAAACTTACTTTATAACCCTGCTGTTGTCCCTAGAACTATTTCATATTTCTAGTATTTATTGACTACTTAATGTATGTCAGGCATTACTGTAAACATTTTAAACATATTGACATTGAAACCTGAGAACAACCTTTTGAGATAAGGACTTAAGAGATGAGGAAACTTAGGCACAGAAACATTAGATAATTTGCCTCAGAGTTACAACCAGCAGTGGTAGAGTCGGGATTTGAACCTGTGTGGTCTGGCATCGAAGTTCATAGTCTTTAGAAGTCACTGTACTGTCTAACTTCTCTTTTTCCATCAAATAATCACTAAGCTGAACATACTTGCTTTTTTACCTCCCCCCCCCCCTTCAAGATTATATCACTCAAAGTGATTACCTTTTTTGGAAGAAAGGAGCAAACTTGCAGCATAATTTTTCCTTAATATTACATAGCTAGTAAAAAATTGAGTATAAGTAGTTCTATAGGAATTTTGAGCATTATTTAACTAGTGTGTGAGATGAGTGCAATTGTGTGGTAATTTGAACAGTCTTTGGCATTGCCTTTCTTTGGGATTGGAATGAAAACTGACGTTTTCCAGTCCTGTGGCCACTGCTGAGTTTTCCAAATTTGCTGGCATATTGAGTGCAGCACTTTCACAGCATCATCTTTCAGGATTTGAAATAGCTCAACTGGAATATCATCCTCTCCACTAGCTTTGTTCATAGTGATGCTTTCTAAGGCCCACTTGACTTCACATTCCAGGATGTCTGGCTCTATCTAGGTGAGTGATCACACCATTGTGATTATCTGGGTCGTGAAGATCTTTTTTGTACAGTTCTGCGTATTCTTGCCACCTCTTCTTAATATCTTCTGCTTATGTTAGGTCCATACTGTTTCTGTCCTTTATCGAACCCATCTTTGCATGAAATGTTCCCTTGGTATCTCTAATTTTCTTAAAGAGATCTCTAGTCTTTCCAGTCTGTTGTTTTCCTCTATTTCTTTGCATTGATTGCTGAGGAGGGCTTTCTTATCTCTGCTTGGTATTCTTTGAAACTCTGCATTCAAATGGGAATATCTTTCCTTTCCTCCTTTGCTTTCCGCTTCTTTGCTTTTCACAGCTATTTGTAAGGCCTCCTCAAGACAATCATTCTGCCTTTTTGCATTTCTTTTCCATGGGGATGGTCTTGATCCCTGTCTCCTGTACAGTGTCACGAACCTCTGTCCATAGTTCATCAGGCACTCTATCAGATCTGGTCCCTTAAATCTATTTCTCACTTCTGCTGTATAATCATAAGGGATTTGATTTAGGTCATACCTGAATGGTCTAGTGGTTTTCCCTACTTTCTTCAATTTAAGTCTGAATTTAGCAATAAGGAGTTCATGATCTGAGCCACAGTCAAAAAGCAGAGACATTACTTTGCCAACAAAGGTCCGTCTAGTCAAGGCTATGGTTTTTCTAGTGGTCATGTGTGGACGAGAGAGTTGGACTGTAAAGAAAGCTGAGCGCCAAAAAATTGATGCTTTTGAACTGTGGTGTTGGAAAAGACTCTTGAGAGTCCCTTGGACTGCAAGGATATTCAACCAGTCCATCTTACAGGAGATCAGTCCTGAGTGTTCATTGGAAGGACTGATGCTGAAGCTGAAACTCTAATACTTTGGTCACGTCATGCGAAGAGTTAACTCATTGGAAAAGACCCTGATGCTGGGAGGGATTGGGGGGCAGGAGGAGAAGGGGACAACAGAGGATGAGATGGCTGGATGGCATCATCAACTTGATGGACATGAGTTTGAATAAACTCCGGGAGTTGGTGGTGGACAGGGAGACCTGGTGTGCTGCAATTCATGGGGTCGCAAAGAGTTGGACACGACTGAGTGACTGAACTGAACTGAACTGTGTTCTATAGGAAAGGCTTCCCTGGTGGCTTAAATGGTAAAGAATCTGCCTGCAGTGCAGGAGCCCTAGGTTTGATCCTTAGGTTAGGAAGATTCCCTGGAGAATGGATATAGGAGGAAAAGCATAAGAGTGGAAATTAATCTCCTTAAGAGTTTAACATTTTCTCATGTGGTATGTTTTCTGTGGTTGCTGTTTAAGACCGTTGACAGAGCATGATTGGTTTCTTCATTTCAGTTGCTCAGAATTAATACAGCTTTTCCATATGATTGAAGTCTTTTCTAGATTTAGCTAGTTCATGTATTTTTGTCCTGTCTACCTTTTCACAAATGGATATAAAATACCATTTATATTTATTTTAGTGTTCATTTATCTCTTTCATATATTTACTGTTTAATTAGTTTTCTTCTCTCTAAATTACCTGTTCACGTGTTATATATTCTACTAATTCTTCGTCAGCTTTATTGACGTATGAGTTGTATACCGTACAGTTCACACATTTAGTTTATTCTCAGTTATACAGCCATCACCAAAGCCTAATTTTAGAGCATTTTCATCATCCTGAGAAGAACTCCATACCAATTAGTTGTCACTTCCCATCCACTTTTCCCTGCTAGCCCCTGGCAACCACTAAGTCAACTTTTATCTGTATTAGTTTGTCCCTTCTAGACATTTCATATAAATAGAATCATACAATGTGTAGTCTTTGTGACTAATTTCTTTCACTTAGTATAATGTTTTCAAGGTTCATCCATGTTGCATGTATCAATACTTCATTGTTTTTTTATTGATGAGTAATATTCCTCTGCCTGAATGTTCCACACTTGATTCATTCATTCACCAGTCAGCCATAGTCCTTTGAGTTGTATCCATTTTGGAGCTATTAGAACAAGGCAGCTATGAACATTTGAGTACAATTGACTACATGTGTTTCCGTTCAGCTTGGGTAGATAGCCAGTAGTGGAACTGTTGAGTCATATGGTAGCTCTGTTTAACATTTTGAGGACTGCCAAACTGTTTACAAAAGCAGCCATACCATTTTACATTCCCACCAGCAGTGTATGAGGATTCTCATTTCTACGTATCCTTTCCACCACTTGTTAATTGTCTGTCATTTTGGTTGTCACCGTCCTAGTGAGTGGGAAGTGATGTCTCATTATGGCTTTGATTTGCATTTCCCAGATGGCTAACTGACATTGCATATCTTTTTATATACTTGGTCATTTTTACATCTGCTTCAGAGCAATATCTCTTCTGGTCCTTTGCCCATTTAACTAGGTTATTTATTTATCTTTTTATTATTGAGTTGTAAGAATTCTTTAAATATTCTGGATAGAAGTCACTTATTTGATACATGATTTGCAGATACTTTCTACCATTCTGTGCGCTGCCTTTTCACTTTCTTTGAGGTGTCATTTATAGCAGAGAAGTTTTAAATTTTGATGAAGTCAAATTTATTTGTTTTTTCTTGTCATTTAGGCTTTTGGTGGTATATCTAGGAAGGCTTTGCCTAACTCACGATCCCAAAGTTTACACCTGTGTTTTCTTATAAGAGTTTTATAAGATTAAACTCTTATATTTAGGTCTGTGATCTACTTTAGGTTAATTTTTGTAATTGATTTAAGGAAAACTTCCCGTTTCCTTTTTTACATATAAATACCCATTTGTCCTATGACCATATACTGAACAGAATGTTCTTTTCTCCTTGTATTTTCTTAGACACTTGTGGAAAATCAGCTGACCAGGTCTATAATATAGTGGCTAACCTTTTACTTTGCTTCTAGTATCTTGTCATATCAAAATTTTAAATTTTGATGCAATCAAATTAATTTTCTGCCTTATGGTTTTTACATTTCTGTCATCCTAAGGAATATTTCTTTATCTTGAATCATAAAAATATTTTTCTGTAATTTCATTTAAGAATTCTAAAACTTGTTTTCACATTAGATATACTGTCTCTATTTAGGTGTATTGATATTCCATTAATGTAAAATTCTGAATTCATTTAAAACTTTGCCAGAACCATCTGCTTTGGGAACAGATACAGATATACCAATGGATGTAGACAGTAGTGACATGAACAGTGATGGTAGTCGGGGTTTGGATGACACAGAAGAACCATCTCCCCCAGAAGATAAAATGTTTTTCTTGGATCCATCTGATCTTGATGTGGAAAGAGACGAAGAAGCTGTTAAAACAATCAGGTAATGCATGGGTATGGACTGCAAGCTATTTCCAAATGCAAGGTCAGTCTAGGAGTTCTGTTAAAAAAGAACAAATCATATCTCTTTAAGTGGAACCTAAAAATGTAATTATAAAAAGAAAATTTTTTTTTTGAAGTATGGTTGCTTTACAATGTTGTGTTAGTTTCTGCTGTATAGCAAAGTTAATCAATTACACATAGACATGTATCCCCTCTTGTTTTAGATTCCCTTCTCATTTAGATCACCACAGAGCCTTGAGCAGAGTTCCTTATGCTCTACAGTCGGTTCTCACTAGTTACCTGTTTCATATACAGTGCTATATGCGTGTCAGTCCCAATCTCCCAATTCATTCCACCCCCAAAAATGTAATTTAAAATCAGTTAAATTGTGGCTAGTGCTTTTATGTGTACCACAGTATTTTTCCGAAATAAATTATATTACTCTTGCTGTCCACTCAAGATGGGAAGGTATGAGAATCCTGTTTTCTTAAAAAGAAAAATGCTTTATTTAAATACAGTCTAGATAATGATACCTAGCTGTGTAGCAATCTTTCACAAAGTGCCAGCATTGAACTATCAGGTAAAGCAACAAGTTTCTTCACACAGGCATGTTAGCTAATGTTGCAAACCTCGGTAAGAATTATACCTGAGAATGCTGCACAAAGATGATGGTGATGAATTTGGGGGCAGTTTTCATATTGCAATTCATCTGTTAGCGCTTTGTAAAAATGCTCCTGGATTATGAGACTTATATATCCTCCTATATTTATAGAAATTCAGGTTTTTCAGATACAGCCTATAAGGTATACCACTTTGTGATAAAGTGTTAACATTTCAAGCAGGTTTTGTTTTTCATTGGCAGCAAATAGGTATTTAGAGAAAATGGGTCATTTGTCAGTCTCACATGACTGAGTCATTTATTCAGTTTGTCTTATCATTGAATTATAGCTATTATTATCATTATCATTATTAACTAAATGTTTGCCCAAATTGGAGACTTAAGAGAACTAAGCTGGTTTCCTAATCATGGACACTTCACAGTTTTAAGAGCAAGTGTCTATTTGAGACTCAATTGAAAAGCACTGTATTCTTCACACACTTCTGCCAAGGTGCTCTTTTCTCTCCAGCTGCACTGTTTCTGACCTATGTTTCAGTATTACCTGATCTGACTCATTTCATTATTTATTATTTTTACTTTCTTAATACCTGTAAATCATTTTTCTTTCAGTATCTTCTGTTAGTAATTGTTGCTGACAACATGAATAATGGAATTTGATATTTGAATTTGGTCTTGTTATGAATTTATTAATTTGTCATGTTATCTAGGGTACGATTTTTTTGCAGCAATCCCAAATGAGACCTTCTCTCAGGCTCCAGATTTGCCAACCGGAGAGGATTCTTTCTGCTCTGTTCATTGCTTTCTTATGTCCTGTGGCCCTTCAGAAATATTGATGACAAATAATGATGACTTACAGTATTGTTGTAGGAAGGGGGGCCACCCTCGAGGGCCCCATGAGCGGGCTCTTGTCCAACACTCGGAAATGAATTGTCCAAGGAGACACGTGCTGACGAAGCAAGAGATCTTACTGGGAAAGGGCACCCGGGTGGAGAGCAGGAGGGTGAGGGTACCCAGGAGAACTGCTCTGCCACGTGGCTTGCAGTCTCTGGTTTTATTGTGATGGGATTAGTTTCCAGGTGGTCTTTGGCCAATCATTCTGACTCAGAGTCCTTCCTGGTGGCACACGCATTGCTCAGCCAAGATGGATGCTAGCGAGAGGGATTCTGGGAAGTGGACGGACACGCGGTGTCTCCTTTAGACCTTTCCCGAACTCTTCTGGTTGTTGTGGCTTATTCTGTGTTCCTTACCAGGACCTCCTGTTGTAAAACAACTCATGCAAATGGTTACTAGAGAGCCTGGCCAAGGTGGACAGTTTGTCAGTGTGCTTCCCCTAACAGTATCATCTTTGTCTTTTATAAATTAACTATGTATCATCATAACAGGATTAATTTATCTTTTTCTTCTTAAGCCATTGTTTGTCTTCCTAAGGTATTTTGAGGAATTTTAGTTTAATTATCTTTGAAAGGGTTTGATCAGTTTACTATATTGATAATCTTTTAAGTTAACATTATAAATATTTGTCATAAATTTAAAATGTTTTTTAGTCCATCAACAAGCAATAACATTCCGCTGATGAGGGTCGTCCAGTCCATCAAGCACACAAAGAGGAAGAGCAGCACCATGGTGAAGGAAGGGTGGATGGTCCATTACACCAGCCGGGACACCCTGGTTAGTAGCCACAGGCATTGTATTATGGCAGTGAAACTGCTATGTGCTTTACTTTGTACGTTTTTTAAGTCAAAATGACAATGAGATATATATTAAGACATCATAGTACACTGGAACCATCTTTATATTTAGGATGTTAGGAATATTTAAAAGGTGAAATATGTAATGTACTATTTTTATAAATTGGTAGAACAGTAGAGGTTCAAAGCAAGTCTGATGATACACCACCAAATGCACAATCTCAGAAAGAATTGATACTCCCAGGTGCCTCAGATGGTTAAGAATCTGCCTGCAATGCAGGAGACCCAGGTTCAATCCGTGGGTATACAGGGTATCAGGAAGATATCCTGTAAAAGGGAACAGCAACCCACTCCGATATTCTTGCCTGGAGAATCCCATGGACAGAGGAGCCTTGTGGGCTACAGTCCATGAAGTCAGAAAGAGTTGAACACAACTAAGCAACTCTCACTTCACTTCACAAACTTCTGCTCTGCAAAAGACAGTGTTAAACGATTGAGATGACCACAGACTTGGAAGAAATATTTGCAAAAAAGATATCTGTAAAAGATTCTTCTCCAAAATATACAAAGAATTCTTAAAATTCAACAGTGAAAAAACTTAAAAACCTGATTAAACAATGTGCTGAAGACCTTAATACGTACCTCGCCAGAGAAGATACCTAGATGGCGGATAAGCATATGAAATGATGCTCCATATCTTATGTCATCAGGCAAATGCAAATTAAACAGTGGGATACCGCTGCTCATCTGCTGCTACTCTAATAGCCAAAATCATAAACACTGAGAACACCAAATTCTGACAAGATGTAGAGCAACAGAAACTTTCTTTGACTGCTGGTAGGAATGCAAAATGGTATTGCCAACATTCGAAGACAGTCTAGTAGTTTCATGCGAAACTAAAATGCTTTTTACCAAATGATCTAGCAGTCATACTCTTTGCTGTTTACCCAAAGGAGATAAAAACTTACATTCACATAGAAACCTGCAAATGGATATTTATAATAGGTTTATTCATAGTTGCCAAAAACCTGGAAATAATGGATCTCCTTCAGTAGGTAAATGGGTAAATAAACTGTTCTAAAGACAACGGAGTGTTATTTGGCACTAAAAAGCAATGAGCTGTCAAGCCATGAAAAGGCTTGGAGCAGTCTTAAGTGCTAAGTGAAAGAAACGAATGTAAGAAGATTACATGCTGTTATGATTCCAACTATATGATATTCTAGAAAAGGCAGAACTGGAGGGTACAGGGTGGGGACAAGTAGGAATAAACTGGTAAAACACAGAATTTTTAGGGCAGCGAAAATACTCTATGTAATACTTAATGATAGGTACTTGTCATTATGTATTTGTCCAAACGCATAGAATGTACAGCAGCAAGAGTGAGCCATATTATATAACCTATGGACTTTCATGATCATGATGTGTCAAGTGTAGATTCATCAGTTGTAACCATTATACCACTCTGATAAGGGTGTTGATGGGGTCTGGGATTGTGCACGCCTAGGGACAGGAAGTATATATGGGAAATCTCTGCCCCTTCCCCTTAATTTGTGATGAACCTTAAACTGTTCCAAAAAGTAAAGTATTAATTTTTAAAAAATCATTTATAGATACATGTTTAAAAAACAACAATGCTTTATGGCAAAGAACAGAAACAAAGACAAATGACAAACTGGAAAAAGTTTTTTTCCAACACAAAACACAATAGAAAAATAGGCAATGAATCTGGGTAGGTCTCAGACAAGGAAATGCAGATTACTCTTAAACATAAGATCTTGATCTCATTTTTAATAAAAAAATACAATTTAAAATGTTATGAAAATACTAGCCAAATAGTATACCAGCTGCATAGCCAAAGCAGTCTTGAGAAAGAATGGAGCTGAAGGAATCAGCCTTCTTGACTTCAGATTATACCACAAAGCTGCAGTCATCAAGGCAGTATAGTACTGGGACAAAAACAGAAATACAGACCAATGGAAGAAGGTAGAAAGCCCAGAAATAAACCCATGCACCTATGGGTGCCTTATTTCTGACAAAGGTGTCAAAAATACACAATGGGGCAAAGACAGCCTCTTCAATAAATGGTGCTGGAAAAACTGGACAGCTACATGTAAAAGAATGAAATTAGAACACTTCCTAACACCATACCCGAAGATTAAAAAGATAAAAACTTTAAAAAAAAATTTAAAAGATAAAAACTCAAAATGGATTAAAGACCTAAATGTAAGACCAGAAACTATAAAACTCTTAGAGGAAAACATAGGCAGAACACTCAATGACATAAATCAAAGCAAGATCATCTATGGCCCACCTCCTAGAGTAATGGAAATAAAAACAAAAGTAAACAAGTGGGACCTGATTAAACTTCAGAGCTTTTGCACAGCAAAAGAAACTATAAGCAAGTGAAAAGACAACCCTCAGGGTGGAAGAAAATAATAGCAAATGAAACAACTGACAAAGGATTAATTTCCAGAATATACAGGCATTGCATACAGCTCAGTACCAGAAAAAGAAACAACCCAATCAAAAGGCGGTGGGGGGGTGGGGATGGCGAAAAGACCTAAACAGACATTTCTGCAAAGAAGACATACAGATGACTAACACACCTGAAAAAATGCTCAACATCACTCATTATTAGAGAAGTGCAAATCAAAACAACTATGAGCTGTCACCCCACACCAGTCATAATGGCCATCATCAAAATGTCTACAAAAAATGCTGGAGAGGGTGTGGAGGAAAGGGAACACTCTTGCACTTTGGTGGGAGTATAAATTGATACAGCCACTATGGAAGACAGTATGGAGATTTGTTAAAAAACTAGGAATAAAACCACCATATGACCCAGCAATCCCACTCCTAAATACACCTTGAAATTGAAAGAGACATGTGTATCACATTGTTCATTGCAGCACTATTTACAGTAGTTAGAACATGGAAGCAACCTAGATGTCCATCAACCGATTAACTAATGAAGAAGTTGTGGTACATATACACAATGGAATATAACTCAATCATAAAAAGGAACGCATTTGAGTCAGATCTAATGAGCTGAATGAACCTAGAACCTATTATACAAAGGGAAGTAAGTCAGAAAGAGAAAGATAAATATCATATACTAATGCATATTTCTCCACTCTTCTCCAGTAGCATACTGGGCACCTACCAGCCTGGGGAGTTTATCTTTCAGTGTCATATCTTTTTGCCTATTCTTACTGTTCATGGGGCTCTCAGGGCAAGAATACTGAAGTGGTTTGCCATTCCTTTCTCCAGTGGACCACGTTTTGTCAGAACTCTCTGCCATGACCCATCTGTCATTGGTGACCCTGCATGGCATGGCTTATAGTTTCGTTGAGCTAGATAAGGCTGTGGTCCATGTGATCAGATTGGTTAGTTTTCTGTGATTGTGGTTTTCATTCTGTCTGCCCTCTGATGGAGAAGGATAAGAGGCTTATGGAAGTTTCCTGATGGGAGAGACTGACTGAGGGGGAAACTGGGTCTTGTTTTGATGGTTGGGCCATGTTCAGTAGATCTTTAATCCAATTTTCTGTTGATGGGCAGGGCTGTGTTCCCTCCCTGTTGCTTAACTTGAGGCCAAACTCTGGTGGAGGTAGTGAAGATAATGGCGACCTTCTTAAAAGGCCTGATGCACACACTGCTGCACTCAGTGCTTCCGACCCTGCAGCAGGCCACTGTCAATCCATGCCTCTGCTGGGGCCTCCTGGACACTCATGGGCATGTCTGGGTCAGTTTCTTGTGGGGTCACTGCTCCTTTCTCCTGGGACTTGGTGCACACAAGGTTTTGTTTGTGTCCTCCCAGAGTCTGTTTCCTCAGTCCTGTATAAGTTCTGGTGGTTCTATGGTGGGGTTAATAGTGACCTCCTCCAAGAGGCCTTATGACATACCGAGGTCTGCTGCACCCAGAGCCCCTGCAGTAGGCCACTGCTGACCCATACATCCACAGGAGACACTCAGACACAGTTCTGGCTCAGGCTCTGTGGGTCGGGCGTGCGTTTTGTGCCCTTCCCAGGTCTGAGCAGCTCAGGTGGACAGTTGCTTGGAGATCTCACTGTCCCAGGCGGGCCATGTGTGTTAATCACCTCCTTGGTCCCAGCCACTCGGTTTCCCAGGTGTACCGCGAGAGCAAAAGCAACACCCATTTGTGGATCTGATGGGTGATGGAAGTAAAGTCCTATGCTGTAGAGAGCAGTATTGCATAGGAACCTGGAATGTTAGGGCCATGAATCAAGACAAACTGTAAGTGGTCAAACAGGAGATAGCAAGAGTGAACATCAACATTTTAGGAGTCAGTGACCTAAAATGGAATGGAATGGGTGAATTTAAAACTGATGACCATTATATCTGCTACTGTGGGGATGAATCCCTTAGAAGAAATGGAGTAGCCATCATAGTCAACAAAGGAGTCCAAAATGCAGTACTTGGATGCAATCTCAAAAATGACAGAATGATCTCTGTTCATTTCCAAGGCACCATTCAGTATCACAGTAATCCAAGTCTGTGCCCTGACCAATAATGCTGAAGAAGCTGAAGTTGAACAGTTCAATGAAGGACCTACAAGACCTTCTAGAACTAACACCCAAAAAAGGTGTCATTTTCATTATAGGGGGCTGGAATGCAAAAGTAGGAAGTCAAGAGATTCCTGGAGTAATAGGCAAATTTAGCCTTGGAGTACAAAACGAAGCAGGGCAAAGGTTAACAGAGTTTGCAAAGAGAACACACTGGTCACAGCAAACACCCTCTTGCAACAACACAAGAGAAGACTCTACACATGGACATCGCCAGATGGCCAACACTGAAATCAGGTTGATTATATTCTTTGCAGCCAAAGATGGAGAAGTTCTATACAGTCAGCCAAAACAAGACCGGGAGCTGACTGTGGCTCAGATCATGAACTCCTTATTACCAAATTCAGACTTAAATTGAACAAAGTAGGGAAAACCACTAGACCATTCAGGTATGACCTAAATCAAATCCCTTATGATTATACAGTGGAAGTGACAGAGTCAAGGGATTAGATCTGATAGAGTACCTGAAGAACTATGGACGGAGATTCATAACTTTGTACAGGAGGCAATGATCAAGAGCTTCCCCAATAAAATCAAATGCGAAAAGGCCAAATGGTTGTTTGATGAGACTTTACAAATAGCTGAGAAAAGAAGAGAAGTTAAAGGCAAAGGAGAAAAGGAAAGATATTCCCATTTGAATGCAGAATTCCAAAGAATAGCAAGGAGAGATGAGAAAGCCTTCCTCAGTGATAAATGCAAAGAAATAGAGGAAAACAATAGAATGGGAAAGATTAGCGATCTCTTCAAGAAAATTAGAGATACCAAGGGAACATTTCATGCAAAGATGAGCACAATAAAGGACAGAAATGGTGTGGACCTAACAGAAGCAGAAGATATTAAAAAGAGGCAGCAAGAATACACAGAAGAACTATACAAAAAAGATCTTTGTGACCCAGGTAACCACAATGGTATGATCACTCACCTAGAGCCAGACATCATGGAATACGAAGTCAAATGGGCCTTAGGAAGCATCAGTATGAACAAAGCTAGTGGAGATGATGGAATTCCAGTTGAGCTGTTTCAAATCCTAAAAGATGATGCTGTGAAAGTGCTGCATTCAATATGCCAGCAAATCTGTAAAACTCAGCAGTGGCCACGGGACTGGAAAAGGTCAGTTTTCATTCCAATCCCAAAGAAAGGCAATGCCAAAGACTGTTCAGACTACCGCACAATTGCACTCATCTCACACGTTAGCAAAATAATAGTCAAAATTCTCCAAGCCAGGCTTCAACAGTACATGAACCGTGAACTTTCAGATGTTCAAAATGGATTTAGAAAAGGCAGAGGAACCAGAGATCAAATTGCCAACATCTACTGGATCATCAGAAAAGCAAGAGCGTTCCAGAAAAACATCTACTTCTTCTTTATTGACTATGCCAAAGCCTTTGACTGTGTGGATCACAATAAACTGTGGAAAATTCTGAAATAGATGGGAATACCAGACCACCTGACCTGCCTCTTGAGAAACCTATATGCAGGTGAGGAAGCAACAGTTAGAACTGGACATGGAACAACAGACTGGTTCCAAATCGGGAAAGGCTATGTATTGTCACCCTGCTTATTTAACTTATATGCAGAGTACATCATGCTAAATGCCAGACTGGATGAACCACAAGCTGGAATCATGATTGCCGCGAGATACATAACCTCAGATATGCAGATGATACCACCCTCATGACAGAAAGTGAAAAACTAAAGATCCTCTTGATGAATGTGAAAGAGAAGAGGGAAAAAGCAGGCTTAAAACTCAACATTTAGAAAACGAAGATCATGGCATCCAGTCCCATCACTTCATGCAAATAGATGGGGAAACAATGGAAAGAGAGACTTATTTTGGGGGGCTCCAGAATCACTGCATATGGTGACTATAGCCATACTATTAAGACGCTTGCTCCTTGGAAGAAAAGCTATCACCAAGCTAGACAGCATATTAAAAAGCAGTGTCATTACTTTGCCAACAAAAGTCCGTCTAGTTAAAGAGATGGTTTTTCCATCAGTCATGTATGGATGTGAGAGTTGGACTATAAAGAAAGCTGAGCGCCAAAGAATTGATGGTTTTGAACTGTGGTTTTGGAGAAGACTCTTGAGAGTCCCTTGGACTGCAAGGAGATCCAACCAGTCCATCCTGAAGGAAATCAGTCCTGAATATTCATTGGAGGGACTGATGCTGAAGCTGAAACTCCAATACTTTGGCTACCTGACGCAAAGAACCAGTTCATTGGAAAAGACCCTGATGCTGGGAAGGATTGAAGGCAGGAGGAGAAGGGGACGACAGAAGATGAGATGGTTGGATGGCATCACCGATGCAATGGACATGAGTTTGAGTGGGTTCTGGGAGTTGGTGGTGGACAGGGAGGCCTGGCGTGCTTCAGTCTATGGGATCACAAAGTCAGACACGACTAAGCAACTGAACTGAACACATGTACAGAATCTAGAAAAATGGTACTGAAGAATTTATTTGCAGGGCAGCAGTGGAGAAACAAACATGGAAACAGACTTATGGGGAGAGGGGAGGAGAGGGTGAGATGTATGGAGAGAGTAACATGGAAATTTACATTACCATATGTAAAATAGATAGCCAATGGGAATTTGCTTTATGTCTCAGGAAACTCAAACAGGGGCTCTTTATCAACCTAGATGGGTGGGATAGGAAGGTAGATGGGAAGGAGGTCCAGAAGGGAGGGGATATATGTATACCTGTGGCTGATTCATGTTGAGGTTTGACAGAAAACAACAAAATTCTGTAAAGGAATTATCTTTCAATTAAATAAATTTTAGAAAATGTTAACAAAAATGCTAGTTTTTCTTTGTCAGTGTAGCACAGGATCAGAAGGGTTAGTAATATGCTCTGTTAGTGATGGTTTGAGTAAATAGGCACACTCATGTTGCTGATGAGATTATAAATTGGATCCAGAAATAGAGGAATAACTTAACACTGTCAAGAAGAATTATATATGCATTTATCTTTTGACTCAGTAAGGCATCCTTTAGAAATTTAGTCCATGAGTAAATTACATATTTGCGTGTGTCATACACACGTATTTGTGTGTGCATGCATGAGATTCTTGAAACCTCCAAAAACTATAATAACATTGTTTGCCTTGAGTAAGGGTGGGAGTGAGATAGGAGTGATGATGGAAGTATACTTTTCACTATATATCTTTTTAATTTTTCACATTTTGGAGCTCATGAATTTTATATCAGTACAAACTTAAGAGATGAGAGGGAATGGAGAGTTCAGACACTTTGGAGGAATGATTACTTTTGAAACTTACAGTTTTGTGCTCTTTGTAGAGAAAGAGGCATTATTGGAGACTGGACAGCAAATGTCTTACACTGTTTCAAAACGAATCTGGATCAAAGTATTATAAGGTAAAAATTTCACATCTTTTTAAAATATGTACATTAAAATACTGTGTGTTTTCCAAATATATCCAAGTAATATTTATTAATTGTTATATTGGATTACAGCTATTATAGCTCTGCCTCACATAGTTTCTAGAAGTCACTGTTAAGTTCCTTGTAAAAGCAAGTATCCTCTACCCCTCCGTTTCACCCCTTGGAACAGCCTTGCTGCGAAATTTTTTGTTGTTGTTGTGTGATTCTTTGTTTCTGGCCTGTCAGGTTGCTGCTGTTTTCCTTCTGGGTACCAAGTGGTCCTCCATATCAGTGGATGCCTAGCCATTTTATATAAGGGACTTGACCCTTGCATACGAAAAGACAACTAGACTGTGATTTAGATTAGACTATTAAAAGTCCTATGATTATTCTGATCAGAAGAAGCCATTGTGGTATTCAGCATTTCTCCCATTTTACCTTAGACCCCAATTCCCAGATGCTTCTTTTGGCTCTTCTTTATATAATTCTCTTTGCTCGACTTGATCCACATTTTGCCAGTATCACCAGTTGACACCAGGTAAAATTGTTAGTATAGCGATTGTATCAGGAAGAAAGAAAATAGAGAGTAATGAATTGCTTTGAACTGGTTGGATTTTTCTAAAGAAGTTTTCTGCTTTGGGAAGTAGACTAAACATAAATGTTAAAGTTATGGACATAACCAGAATAGAGCACTTACAGTTACACTGACATCCTCCTTTGCTGCTGTTATTTCTGCCTCATTCTTCTTTGGGGCCATATCTTGCAGATAGCAGCCAGTAGAGTAGTTGTTGAGTTGACTTCCTGACAGCTGGGAAATGGCAGGTGTTGGCTATAGCAGCAACCGCCCTTCTAAATCCTTTCTTTCTAATGATCTGCTGCAGGCCTGAATTACTTAGCTTGGTTATTATACTCCATGCTCTCTGCCTTTGTCATTGCTGGACACGCGGATCATTCAGAGCAGATACCCTCATAAGACTTGACTGTGTTCATGTGCCACATTCACATGCTTGTGTTTGTCTTTAATGGTATTCTTTAGAAATGCATATCTTTGATTAGCGTATTTGAAAAAAAAACACATATTCATTTTTCCTAACGCTTAGTTCTTTACTTCAGGAAATTCCACTTTCAGAAATTCTCCGCATATCTTCACCACAAGATTTCACAAGCATTTCACAAGGCAGCAACCCACACTGTTTTGAAATCATCACTGATACTATGGTATACTTTGTTGGTGAGAACAATGGGGACAGCTCTCACAATCCTGTTCTTGCTGCCACTGGAGTGGGACTTGATGTAGCACAGAGCTGGGAAAAAGCAATTCGCCAAGCTCTCATGCCTGTGACGCCTCAAGCCAGTGTCTGTACTTCTCCAGGCCAAGGGAAAGATCACAGTAAGCAATAAGCTTCTTGATGACTTTTTCCCCCTTTGGTTCTTAAGCATTTTGTGGGTGCAGTTGTGTTTCTGTATTTGTTTTAAGCTTCATTTTTGTAATCAATACCATTAGTTAATTGCTTTATAAAATTATGTTGGTCATAGTATGTGCTTGCAGTCCCCAGAGCGAGGCTCCACAGTCAAGTCTCCCTGCATTTAAATCTTGGCTCTGCTCACCTGTTATGTGATCTTGGCAAGTACTTTCCTTTTCTGTAACAACACCTACTGTATAGAGTTGTCAGCATTAAATGAAGGAGAACCAAAAGGGGTTAAGTAAGCTACTAGTATTAGGATTGTGCTTCATGGTGGGATTTTCAGTCTGTAAAGTGTTGTAGTTCACATAGTAGTTATAAATGTTTGAAGTCAGAAATGCTGGATGTGTTTTAACTGAATTAAAACATTCAGAAACATTTTTTAAAAATATTGAAACACATGTTCTTTGCACCAACAAAATTTATAAAATAAAACCTAAATTTGTTTTAAGTTTCAAGTGAATACTTAGTCACACAGCCATAGTAAAATGTCACTTCCCTGCACCCACCCCCCCATTGGCATTAAGTCATTTATGGTGAAAGAGCTTTCATTCATTAGGTAAATACATTTAAATTGAAAGAGACATCAGCTTCTTTTCTTTTTCAGCTGCATTGCACAGCTGGGATCTTCCCCAACCAGGGATAGAACCCAGCAGTGAAAGCGCCGGGTCCTAACCCCTGGATGGTCAGAATTCCCTCAACCAGTTTCTGTATGCCTTTTATTTCAGTTCAGCTATGCTACTTAGTATACCTCTTCTTGGCGTTAATGCTAGGCCCTGAGCTAGAATACAAAAGAAATACAGAGATTTTTAAAGCTAGGAAGGGAAATAGGTACATGAAGCAGTAGAGTGCAAAGAGAAGTAGTGCCTTTCTCAAGGAACTCAGATACAGATAGGAAGGTGAGTGGAGACTTCATGATAGAGGGGCGTGATATGGACCTTGACCTTGGGTCTCATGTAAGTTAGGGTAGGCAGCGCTGACCTAGGGGTGTGCATGGAATTAAGGGGGCATGTGATCAAAGGCGTGAGGGTAATGACCATGAAAATGTTTGGTGTTGAATATTGATTCTGAAAGGGTGAGTAAAATGGATAATCACCATGTTTCTTAAATTTGAGGGGATTTTTGAACTGTCTGATATTCTAATTGGACCTTTTACCCCAGAAAATAATGTAGATACATAACACAAATTTTATATATAATTGGATTTAGGGTCCTTCTCAAGCCCATCCATGGACTCTTCCCTCGGGTTATAAGTCCCTGAGGACAGACTGTAGAAGGGCGAAGGGAGAATGAAAGCCCAGTTCTGCCGCTTCACTAGCTTCAAAGTCTTGGCCTCTTCAATTCTCTCATCCAAAAGGAGAATGATATAATGATTGCCTGTGATGCAGTTAGCACCATTCCTGACCTAGCAGTGACACTGTCACTGTGCTGCTGCTGATGCTGTTGCTGCTGTCCTTACAACAGCCAGTCTGGAGCAGAGTTCTCCTGGGAGGCGCTAGAAATGAAAACTGGATGGAGTTAAGACAGTGGAGGCCTTTGAAACAAAATAAATATTGACTTAAACTAGGAAACTGGAACTACTGCAAAGCAGAGTCTAGGCTCATTCATTTTGTTGATGCTGTGCTTTTTTGCTCTGTCGCATTAATACTTGATTTTTTGGGTTATTTAAAGTAGTTTAAAATTGACTTAATACTTTAAAATGGAGTTTCCACAGTCATTTACTTATTTTTTGATGTATAGTTGCTTATATTTTCTTCTTAATGAAGTTTTATGTTCTTATATTTGGGATTATAAAAGAAATTTCGTATCTTTTTCTCTGAGTTACCACTGAGATTCTAAATGTTTGAGAACTAGTCTCTTGCTTTGCTTTCCTAATTTCCCATTTTTCTTGTCAGTTACTTCCTTTGCTTACCTAAGTCATACAGACATTTAAACTTTATAGAAATATGTAATATGATAAACTCTTCCCTATACATGTGACATGTCCCCCTATTCCCAATTGTATATCTCCCCCCTCAGAAAACCATTATTAATAGTTGGTGTATATTTCTTGATTTGGGGATGGCTTGGGAAGAGGGGAATCTATTCTATTTGTACGGTCTTGTTACATTTTTATTTTCACAAAAAAAGTCATTTTTGTTGTAAAAGATGTATGATCTTTTTACAACTTGATTTTGTGAACTATTTAATATATATCAGATATATTTCAAAATTATATAGGTTTATATAATTTTAATGTTTTATGACAATAATGCATACTTTCTACACATTTTTTAAACAGTCTAGAAGCATATAAAAAATCTTTGTTCCTCAACCCCATCTCTCTCACTCACCAGAAGTGATCATATTTTGTTTGTTTTGATTCATATGCCACTACCTTGAAACTTACCTTTTTAACTTAATAATATAAATAGCTTTCTGACTCAGTACTTACAGCCCTACACCCTTAAATGTGTAGACAGTATTCTTTTGTATGGATATATATTCTATTTTACCAGTTTCCTGTTGCTGGATTAGTATTGTTTATGGATAAATTTTGTTTTAATGTAATGATATTAACTGTATGTTAGCTAGTTTTTAAAATTTAATGTACTGTAAGCTTTCACATGTCAGTACATATTAGTATTACTAAGTTATATACTAACAGTTTTTTTCCCCATATATCATCTGTTTTACAGAAGATTTGTCTACCAGTATCTCTGTATCTAATTGTCAGATCCAAGAGAATGTGGTAAGTAAATATTACAGCTAAAGTATACAGATTGGGTAATTAAGGAAAATAAAATGTGAGACTCTTACTAGAAAATAAGTTTATAACCCAGAGCACTGTGCAGTTTGCCTGAAGACACCAGACTGAACTGTGTGGGTGATAACTTCCTAGAGGAGTTCTGCTTTATGAAGGAAACTGAGGCAGTTTCCTTTTAAATTATGAAAATAAAGTTAACTTTTTCATAAGTGACATTAGAATATTACAGAGTGATAGACTAGCTCAAAGAGAAGAGAGAGGCTACTTTCTGGCTCAGAGCAGGGAAAACTTCTTAAAGGAAGTGAAACTTGAAATATACTTAAAAAGTGTTTTAACACGACTGCTGAGAGGATGGTGGTGAGAGAACATTTCATGAAAGTACAGAGAAGCAGAAAATGCAGGATTTTGAGGCAGAGTGAGGACTCAGTTTAGCTGGTACATGTAGGGGTCAGCATACTTTCTGTAAGGGGATGGAAGTAAATATTTTAGGCTTTGAAGACCATGTACATTTATGAACTCAACTCTGCTGCCGTCGTGAGAAGGCCATAGGCAGTACATAAAGGAATGAGTTAGACTGTTTTCCAGTATAAGTTTTTTTGTGAACACTTATATTTGAATTTCGTATAATTTCATGTTTCAGAAGATGACATCATTTTGATTTTTTTCAACCATTTAGAAAGGTAAACTGTTCTTAGTTCAGGAGCCATACAGAAAGAGGCAACAGGCTGGATTTGGCCCACAAGCCTAGTTTGCCAGCTCCTGGATTAGTTAGAAAAAAGGCTAGAAAAAGAAGTCCAAAAGTTGTATATAAATTTATTTGATTCACATCTCTCCTACTGTTCAGTTTGGGGCATCCAGCTGTTACTGTTAAGTAACACATAAATGTGGGGTTTTCTAAGACTGTAGTAGAAACTGGATATCCAGTAGTGTTTGGGAGCTAGAGGGTTTCAAGGAGATTTGATCTGTGTGTCTCTTGTCCGGGTAGCATGTGTGGATGTGTAGTCGCTTCAGTCATGTCCGACCCTATGGACAGTAGCCTACCAGGCTTCTCTGTCCATGGAACTCTCCAGGCAAGAATATTGAAGTGGGTTGGTAGGTAGCATAGGAACCAGATTATTGGAGAGAGAAAGTTTTCTCATTTCATTTTTACAGATGAAAAGACCAAGTCCCAGGAAATTCAGCTTATTTAAGATTACCTAATTTAAATGGAAATTAGGGTTTGTAGAAGTACTGATTTTTATATGCTAGGCACTAGACTTGACACTTTGTATATCTTCATTTAATTCACTTAAAAATCCAGTAAGATAGATGTTATTATATCTGCTTTACTAATGAGGGAATGAGACCTTGAATAAACTTGGTTTACTCAATCCAGTGACTACCATGAGAAGGCACTGTCTGGGAATGTAACATTGAACAAAATAGGTGTAGTCCCTGGCTTCATGGAGACTGTAGCACGTACCCAGATGAGACCTTGACCGAGGATCTGTGGAAAGGATTGGAGAATGCTTTGTAAGAATATTCTGACAGCAACAACCACTAATGGAACAAAAATAGGAAAGGGAAGGAAGAAGATTGAGGAGTGGATATGAGTTACACATACTCTTTTCATCTGTCTTTCAAAATAAGTCTGATCTCAATAATACAAAACTTTTGAGTTTTTCTTTCAAGTCAAAGATAGCAAATCTCTTTAATAGTAAAGGTGGTAAAACTTTCTTCTTAATTTTTTATGTTAATTTACTTTTTATAGATCACTACTTAATAAATATATTTTTTAAATAAAATCATTTTTCCCCCAGTGTCTTACAGAATACATTATAGTTGTACATTAAGAGTCACAGTAAAGTTGGTCTTTTTTAGGACAGAGAATGCCTGTATTTCATAAAATATTTTATGAAAAAGAAACCCCTCAACCATAAAAACTGAAATGTATTTAAGTATTTGAATGAAAAGAATCAGAGATATTGACATGGTTTCATGGAACTAATAACACTTACTCTTTCCCAAATAGGACATCAGTACCGTTTACCAGATCTTTGCAGATGAGGTGCTTGGTTCAGGCCAGTTTGGTATTGTCTATGGAGGTAAGCAGTTGCAGCCTTTTGCATGTTGTAGATAATGTAGAAAATTAGGAAATTTAAAAACCATCTGCCAGTTGTTAGCATCTTGTCACAGTTTTGCAAGTGGTTTCTTCCTCACAGATTAATCTGCATAGTTTTAGATAAGCCCTTTTCACTATAACTTAGTATTAATTTCTTAATTTAAATTGAAAACTTTTTAAAAAGAAACAGAGAATCAGAAAATTCACAGTAGTTTTCATCTTTTCTTGTAGCTTACACAAAAAGATGTTTGTGTGGTTTGAAGTTTATGTTGGACTCTGAGAGTTCATTTATTGAAGTATGTGCCCCACTGGTTTTCCCACACAGTTGCCCGTTTGTTTGTGGTTGGCACAAATGGTGTATCAGGTCTGAACACCTGAAATCTTATCTCGCTCTCTGACTTACATTGCCGAAGCCTTTTAACCTCGCTGTGCCTCAGTATCTTCATCAGTTTAATGGGGCTTATACAACCTGGCCTGTATATTCATTAATATATGTAAAGCTACTTTACAAGCTATGATGCAAGGTAGAAAAGTAATGTGAATCCTTTGCATTCCTTACCACTACTAATTGGCTTTTCTACTTGAAGATTTGCCCTAATACATACTTAAATCACTCTGCTGATCCAAAGAACTTAGAATAAAATGAATTCCATGGTACAGTGTTTCTGTCTTGACAGAATTTCTGAAGACTAAGTCACATAGTTAACTTTCATTTATTTAATAAGGTGGATTATTTTTCAGCAGACAAGTTCATTCAAATTTCCTGCTATTTCAAATAATAAAACAGCCTTTATTAGAGACAGTTACTATAAGGGAAAATTATCATAATTATAGGTGAGTAATGGAGAAAGAACAAAATGAGCCTGCCCCCTAAAAAATAGAAAAGAAAAAATACAAAAATACAAAAAAAAAAAAAAAAAGTAAATACATACCAATTTCAGTTTGTCGACAGCTTCCTAATGAAACTTCTGTATTGTATGTGACATTAATTTGCATCTTCTTTCTTACCTGTACTTTTTTGAAAAATAGGAAAACACAGAAAGACTGGAAGGGATGTGGCTATTAAAGTAATTGATAAGATGAGATTCCCCACAAAACAGGAAAGTCAGCTCCGTAATGAAGTGGCTATTTTACAGGTAAAAAGTTGCTTTGTATTGGTTTTAATTTTTGATTTATGAGTTTTTAAATCCAAGTCTGTCTAGTGAACTGGTAAGATTTGGTTTGTCTTTTCTTTGTTTGCATTTTATAACATTTTGGCTCAGTGAGAGGCCGGTGAGCTTCTTAATTAACTCCCCCTTTTTTTAAAAAAGGCAAAATTAGGTTACAGTAATCTAGGAGTCAAAAGGATTGACATTGTGGTAGTAGGTTGTTTGGAACACATTTTCATAAGTAAAGTCTTAAATTAAAAAAAGCTCAAATTTCATTCTTAACTCATCACTCCATGAACTAAAAACACTTTGATACTTCTGCCACTGCATTTCATTTTAACTGTTCAGTCCATCAAGGTATACTTTTAAAGCTGTATTGGCAGTGAGTTAAATTCCATAAAATAAATTACTGTGAGTTTTTATTCTCATGTAACATGTTTATCTCTTTTGGAAGTCATCTAGAAAATTAAAAGTTAGCTTTATTTTTCTGAATACATTTAATTTATAATATGCAAATGTTTATTGATTCATTGTGTAGCTTTTGCATGGTATTTAAGAAAATGTAATAGTTAATGCTGTCAGAGCCCTATTTGCTTGTGGGTGAAGTTCAAGAAGACACAGCCTGTTGAACTTGGTGCTTCTTTGGAGAAGGTAAGAAATTTGTAAACATGTAATTAATTTTACATTTATTACATGACTGATCACTATGAGTAACATCTGCCTCACTTTTTCCCAGATGATCAAAAGATGGTGGTCTACAAGCTACATGTGGTCACTTCAAGGCTGCCTCATCCTATGAAGCTACCTTTAAAATAGTCTGAATATAGCATTCAGACTCTGCATTAGGGTTTGAAAGTATTGTTAGAGATCTTTTTTCGTATCTAATTTTGGACTCTTTCTCAATATCCAGTTTATATGCAAAAAAATAAATATTAAAGATTTATTCATAAGACTTGATTTCTCCTTGTCACTTTTGTAAATTTTATTGTAGCTAATTTACAATGTTGTGTTAATTTCTTCTATACAACAGAGTGACTCGTTTATACATATAGATATATTCTTCTCCGTTATGGTTTATCACAGGATATTGAATATAGTTCCCTGTGCTGTACAGTAGGACCTTGATGTTTATCCTTCCTATGTGTACTAGTTTGCATCTGCCATCCCAAACTCCTAATCCGTCCTTCCCCCACCGCTTTCCCCCAGTCTGTTCTTTATTTCTGTGAGTCTGCGTCTGTTTCATAGAAATGTTCATTTGTGTCAAACTTCAGATTCCAGATATAAGTTCTCCTTGTAACTTTGATCACAAATACAGCTCTGAACTAAATACTGAGGCTTATTTTTCCCATGTTACCAACTGGAGATGTTAATAACTAAATTTAGGAATTTTCAGGTAATATACAATGTAAACACTTTATTATTATATCACTCTGGTTCTTTTCATTGATATTGCCTGACTGGGAACAGAATTAAATAATTGTAGTATGGGGGATTTTGTTACTTTCATTTCAAAAGGATAAAGTAATGTAAAATCTTTTGTTATTGCCTGAAGAGGGTAGTAGAGTAGTGGGAGAAAAGATGAAGTGCTCTCCTGGCTCACTATATAAATGGAAAATTCAGTGTTTTCCCCTTCTCTTCTTGGAAATCACCCAGAAGCTACAAGAAAAATGGTAAACAGAAAAGCATACTCTAATACAGATAGAAGAGAGTTCAGATGTACAAAATAGGTAGACATTTTTCCATAAACAGTGGAGATGAACTGGGCAAATGTAGGAAGAGGCACCACAACAAAAACTCGTTTTGCTGGCTCTTTCTGAGGTCTACAGTCATGATAGCCTCTCTGGGTTTCTCTCAGATAGATGAAAGTGACGGGGCATCATGACCTAGTAAGATTTAATTCAATAGAAAACATGAAGTGAATTAGGAAGGGCACTCTCGATGGAAGAGTGCAAATCACACTAAACCAAATGACGTCAATAACTTTAAAGGAAAACTAGTGACCATACAGGGAAGAACAGACAAATACATAGTTGTCCATGACAGATGAGGTAGACAAAGCTAATAAGAACAGAAGAGGCCTAAACATTATAAGGTAGATCTAACCAGTTTATATTGAAGTCTGTACCTACAAATAAATAAATACTTTATTAGCTAAAAAAAAAAAAAGTTTTTTATCTTAATGTACTAAAACTGCAAGGAAATTATAAAATTGGGGGAAAAAAATCTCCCACCACCTGAAAGAAACTTTTTAAAGTCTTAATTCTTGAATCAGAGAGCAAAATCATGACCCAAGTATTTAGAAAATAATTGTGAAAATACTGTTTATCAGAGCTTTTAAACTACTCATAGAAATGTCTAATACTTAATGAGGAAGTAATGAAAATAAATGAATTGAGTGCAACTCAAGTTAAAGGATGAACAGTCAACCTGAGGAAAACAGAATTAACAAAGATAAAACTCGAAGTTAATAAATGTAGTACAATAAATCCAAAAGTTGGTTAGCTATGTGGGTGGAATAACAACAAAATAAGTGTCCAACTGAATCAAAATATAAGAAAATACAAAAACATTTTGGGAGGATGATCACGAATACTGAAGAAAATTAAGGGAATCTTAAGATACTATCTTGGTGGCTCAGCTGGTAAAGAATCCGCCTGCAGTGCAGGAGACATGGGTTCAATCCCTGGGTGGGAAAGATCCCCTGGAGAAAGGAAAAGCTACCAACTCCAGTATTCTGGCCTGGAGAATTCCATGGACTGTATAGTCCATGGGGTCACAAAGATTGGGACATGACTGAGCAACTTTCACTCAATAAGATACTATTTTGTGCAGCTCTGTTAGATAAACTTGAAAGCCTGGAGAAAATGATTAATTCTCTATGAAACTATAATTTACCAAAACAGACTCCAGAGGAAATAGGCCATTAAACAAATAGAAGTTGTTAATAAAAATTATGTTACAGCATACTTCTGTTTTTGTGTGTCCATGCATATGTTCTCAAGGATGGCAGGGGTTGGGGGTGAGAAACTTGAGTGGTAATCTGACTACAGTGTATAGGGGACAGCCAGCCACACTTAGAGCTCTAAGTTGATCAGAGTTAGGACGATTTGAATCTTCTGCTTACTGCCATTATCACGCCCCACCACTGGGGTATTTCACTTTTTATCTACTATAAGATTGTATCACTTTTTATTTTGCCACCTGGAACACCATCATTAAATTTTTTAAGCTGATTATAAACAATATTTATTTTGTGCTTGCTGCGCATTTTCTAAACACTTTTAAAACACCAACCATGATTCAGAAGTTAAGCTAAAAATGACTGAGACACGGTCCCTGCTGTCAGTAGTGTAGTATAGAGTAAGACACGTGTACATGTGATATGGTACTGGGGATAAGCACTGCTGCATGGACAGTGCAGGGGCAGCTGCTGCAGTCCAAAAGGAGGTGGTGTGAGCGAAAACAAGGCATTACGGTGGAAACTGAGAGTGATGGCAGGTTCAAAACACATTCTAGACATGAAGCCCAACTTCGCACAGGCTGGAAAAAAGTTTGCCCTCTTGGCATAATTAGATATCCATAGTGTGAGAAGAAAAGCATAAGAAAAAACTATTTCTGTTAATAAGGATTAAAACATTTAATCACTTGTGCCAGTATTTAAGAACATATTTAAGTTTGAATAAGAAAAATGAAACCAGGTTATTGAAGATATTAAAATTCATCCAGGAATTTAGATTTATGTCCTGAAATAAAGAACCATTCAATGTTTTTGAGTATGGCTGGCTTCTCAAATTTGCTTTTGAGGAAGTTTTGTTTGTTTGTTTGTTTTTTATACCAGTAAGATAGTTTGCTTTCCCCCCCGCCCCCAACAGTATCATATTCAGCTTTGTATTTTTCCAACCTGTGAGCCTGAAAGTGAAAGTCACTAAGTCATGTCCAACTCTTTGTGACCCCATGGACTATACAGTCCATGGAATTCTCCAGGCCAGAATACTGGAGTGGGTACCCTTTCCCTTCTCCAGGGGATCTTCCCAACCCAGGTCTCCCGCATTGCGGGTAAATTCTTTATGAGCTGAGCCACAAGGGAAGCCCAAGAATACTGGAGTAGGTAGCCTATCCCTTCTCCAGCAGATCTTCCCGACCCAGGAATCAAACCGGGGTCTCCTGCATTGCAGGCAGATTGTTTACCAACTGAGCTATCAGGGAAGCCCCAACCTGTGAGCCTAGTAGTGCTTAAGAAAAACGCGGTGATGTGGTAGAGATGCTGAACCTGAAAGAGGGAAGACCAAATCAAGATACAATACAAGATCAGGACTTAGATAAATAACTGCATTAAAGACAGAGCTACCTGTTGAGCTAAGACCTTTGCAAACAGCCCTGAAGAACCAAAGCTCTGTGTAATTGGCTAAAACTTTTATTGGCAGTTGGTGCCTATTTGTGGATAGGATAAGTTAGAGTACCATCAGAAGATTAAAAAGATGAGAAGAAAGGAAAAGAAGCAGTAATGGACAAGGGCAGTTATATAATCAAACTGGGAAGACATTCTTCCCCTTCCCGTGCATCTTCTCTTTAGTACAGAACTTTGAAAATCAAACTCTGTGATCCTTTTTGTTTGCTTTTATTTTTCTGAGCTATCTTTTGTGCCATTATTCCATACAATTAATTGCAGCACATTGTTAGATATTTGCATTTGCATAGTAAAACTTTACTCAAGTTGGTCACATAATGTCCTGCAACTCCTCAGAATTTGCACCATCCTGGGATTGTAAACCTGGAATGTATGTTCGAAACCCCGGAACGAGTCTTTGTAGTGATGGAAAAGCTACATGGAGATATGCTGGAAATGATTTTATCTAGCGAGAAGAGTCGACTTCCAGAACGAATAACTAAATTCATGGTCACACAGGTATTTTTAAAAACTTTTTTTTTTTTTTGGAAACTATAGAAAAATTAAGGACTATGAGAAATAGTAGTGCTTTTCACATATCAGGATATTGTGGGTATTGTTACTTTGAAGAAGACAATAACACTTCAGTTAAATCTTGATGAACTGTAATGGACTTTTCAAATTATTATACCATTTGGGGGGTCCAATTAGGATTTAGCTGTGACTTTTCCAGGAACAGAAAACAATTCTGTTTTCTTCAATAACAGATACTTGTTGCTTTGAGGAATCTACATTTTAAGAATATTGTGCACTGTGATTTAAAGCCAGAAAATGTGCTGCTTGCATCAGCAGAGCCATTTCCTCAGGTGAGATATTCTCCAGAACCTTTTTAAAGTATGGTTTTTAAGTATCTGTGACAGAATTATGAAGCACACGTGTAATGAAAGGCAGTGCTGTAGATTAAATTCATATCTACAGAAATAAAGGTTTTAGCGTGTAACTACTGGGGAGGATTTATACCTGAATAATTTGAATTCACATTTTACTAATTATTGATATATTGTTTTCATGAAGACTTTTTACACCTAATGACTTTTTAGACCAGTTCTCATTATTTTTTGTAATTTGTGCACAATTCACCACTCCCCTGTGGTTTGGGAATGAAGTAGGAAAGGGCAGCCTTGGTTGGTGCTTGGTCTTCAGGACAAATTCCCTATGAAATAAGCTGAGGGATAACCCTGAAATGGGAAGACGAGATTTCGGGTGAGGCAGGCAGCGAACTCTTCCTCTTTAGAGTACTGTATTTCAGATATTCTCAGCAAGACCCGTGGAAGAATTACATTTCCCATCACCACCAGAGCTCACATACGTATGATGATAATGTGTCTCCTGCATGTGATGCACTCATTTTGTTTTTTACTTGGTTAAATTTTATTTCATTAAAACGTGTTCATCTTGATTCAGATTTATGTCATAACCTAAAAATGGTTCTTAACCCAAAGTCTGAATCATTTATCCTAAGGACTATACATTAGTGGTGCCTATGAATGTTTCTCATGACTGTCTTCAACTAGAATAATTTATTTCCAAGTTATTGTTTATGTGCACTTATTTAAAAAACAATTAGACAAGAGGCTAGAGTAAGGACAACAGATGACTTATTCACTTGGTAAATATATCTCAGATTGTCTTTCAAAGAAAAAGATATATTTTCAAAAATTATTCAACTCTTTTACATCTAAGGAAGTAATCATATTCCTCTTAGAATGCATATGAAAGTAAAAGTAATCCCCTGTCTTTATGAGGTCAAAAAGGTGCCATGAGCACTGATGCTATATTTTAAATAAAGTGCTTCCATATATTATTTAATTTGATCTTCAAAAGAGTATGGGCAAAGGATGCACACCCTTCCAGCTAAGGTTAAAACTCACACCTTCTGACCTCCATTAGGATCAAAGGAAAAATAATGTCATTTGATACTTTTTTTTTTTTAATCAAATGCTAGCCATGGCCACTCTTTTTTTCAGTTGCCAAACTGCCAAGTCATCTTTATCAAAATGTTAGCTGAAATATGGCATTTAATGAGGTGCAAAAGAGAGTTCACATTTCTTCATGGTTGATAATCCTCTTCTTCAAATATTCAGAGAAAGTAGCCAATTCAGTAATGATACAAAACAAACATCATAAAAACATGTATGAAGGTCCATCTTTGCTTTCCAGTCATCATGTGTATCACTGGTTTGTGGAGGCCAAATCCCTCATCTCTCAATTCATCCTAACGTTTTTAGTGAAGACATGTTGTCAACCTGGGCATTTCCCTCAGGGAAGCACTTGGCATTTGCTACTGAGCATGGGTGTATCCTTGGTCACCAGAATTTGAAGCTCTGCTGGAGGACAGACAGCAAGCTCATTACATTCCCAGAACTCTCTTCCCAAAAGAGCATGGCAGTGACTGTGGCTACCCTCAGACATAACTCTTTTCAAATCTAAACATCTAACCAGCAATATTTTGTTTCATAGTCACAGAAAAGCTACTCTTAATTCTTTCACGCAATCTCTAATATTACTCTTCTACTGGCCACATTAATAGTTATCTTTGAACACACCTGAACTGGTGTGTATATACTTGCCAATATATAGTGACCTTGGGAAGAGAGATTCTAGGATTAAGTAAAATAAAGGGTAAGTTTTTAAATATCATAACATTTTTCATTCAACAAACACTTGAGTACCTTTATACAGGCACTGTGAGGCCACTGAGGATTTAAAAATGAAACAATTCCTGTTTACAGATGATAGAAAGGGATCTCCTTAAAAGCCAAATGATAGAAGATCAGTACCCTCCATTTCATCAAAAATGATGAGCACTCATAACACCAGTCTGGTATGTGGCATTCTGGAAGGAGGTTAGACTTCAAAAGGGATTGTTTGAAATGAGCACTTTGCAAAGTTCTTCATACTGTTAGTAAGGATCACAGGGTTATAACTCTTCCGTTTAGGAAAAGGGTATTTTACAATTTCCATATGTATAATCGTTTAACATTCATAATCAATACAGTTGGCAAATGTGTTTAAATGATTCCATATCGTGTTTAGGGATAGGTATGTATACATAAACCGACGCACTTTCTATCTGTATGTCAATAATATGAGTTAGCAATCTCCCACGTCCAGGTGAAGCTGTGCGACTTCGGCTTTGCGCGCATCATTGGCGAGAAGTCTTTCAGGAGGTCTGTGGTAGGCACGCCCGCGTACTTGGCCCCCGAGGTGCTCCGGAGCAAAGGTTACAACCGCTCTCTGGATATGTGGTCGGTGGGAGTTATCGTCTATGTGAGCCTCAGTGGCACATTTCCTTTCAATGAAGATGAAGATATAAATGACCAAATCCAGAATGCTGCATTTATGTACCCACCAAATCCATGGAGAGAAATTTCTGGTGAAGGTAAAAAAGAAAATTTAAATTTTAGGTCTGTGCCTGTTTAAAAACTTTGGTGATTCCAAATCACCCCGTTTCTTTTGACATCTCTTTTTAATATTTCCCATTCACCTTCCAAATTCAGCTATTTACCATTGTTTGAAGAATACTTCCTTTTATATATGGATATATGGTTTCTTTATCTTCCTAATAGTTTCCAGGCAGGGCGCTAATCCAGGTCCCAACTGCCTCATTTTGAAACTACTGAAACAGCTTTTTAATTGTGCTCCCCAATCACCACTGCCAAGTCCATCTTCTAGAAATGCTACTTTCATCTTACTGTGCTCCCAGACACCTCAGCCTCCCCGTAACCAGGCTGCATCTGTAGGCGTCTGTGATGCGGCCCAAGTTCTCACCTTCTGGTCTCATCTGCTACTACTGCCCTACACAAGCTACTTTCAGCCGTTTGCTGCATTTTGCTTTAGACCTTTCCCCTGCCTACTCTCCTCCTTGCTGTCAAATCCTTCCAGCCCTTCAGAGATACCTGATCTTGTGGCTCATCTGTGAAGTCTTCCCTGAACTCCTCCAAACTGTATGATCTACTTAGGCTACTGGTTGGGTGTATTTTTCCTGAAGTAATTTATCTTTTCACAGTCACTTTTCTTATCTTCAGATTAGGTTCTTTATACACCACTTAAAACATTTTTTAAAATTCTGCCAAGTATGAGACCTAATCATAGGGATTAATAAAACTGGGAAAAGTTTGAGGGACAACATGTAAATAGTAGGCTTACTTGTTAATGAAGAAATCTGATGGGAGAAGCATATATGAGGGTTTGGGGATGTTGCCAAAGTCACCTTAGAGCCCCCTTGGACAGTGTGGTCTGTAGACCTCTTACATCAGAATCACTTGGTGAGGTTATTAAAAAGACCCTCTGGCTCCATCCTTGAGACTCAGACTCACCAGCTGTATTGCTACTCAGGAATGCATTTTAGTAAACACACTGAATGATCCTGATGCACATAGCAGACTGCCATTTAAGGAACAAAGGATAAAAATTCCAAGTATTTAGAATATAGAGAAACTAGTACTTAAAATACTTTGGGGGGAATAAACAGGGTGAAAAAAATCTGGAAAATTTTGACTGGTATGACAGTATATAGAACTAGAAATAGTATAGGATAAGTCGTTAGTTTGGCTCATCCCTGGATGCAGACCTGAGTAACAATTGCCTTGTTATATAAGGATATTGTCAGTGTGTAGTTACATGGTTGCTTTGGTTTTATAGTTAGCCCACTTCTCCAAATAACTGGATAAAATATGCATGCTAAGATCTCACCACATACACCAAAATACCATGAACTTATTTGTTAAAACCTGTTAAGTATGAACTTTTGGTAAGAAGTTATTACCTCACTATAACTTCATCTGCAGGAGCAAGGCAATGGCTTTGGCTATTTTCCAGACCAAGCCCAAGACTAGAGAATAGCATAGCATCATTTCGGAGGGAAAAAACAACAAAAATGTAAGACTGTAAAGAGAGTCTGTTTTACTCATTTTTAAAAGTAATGGTTAATTCTTAGTACATAAAAGCATCATTCTGAGTCCTTTGTGTGTATTAAGTTTATTTCATCTTCTCAACAACCTCATTTTACAGATGAGGAAACTGAGGCACAGTGCAGTTTAGTAACTGACCCCCACGTCACACACAGTAACATCTTCGGCTTAAGCAGGCGGGCTCCAGTCTATACTTTTAACTTGTATTCTGTACTATCTCCTTAATAAACCAGGTACACTCAATTCAATAAATATTTATCAGTCACTAATATGTTAGCTTAAAGGCTGTGTCCTTGAGAAGCAAAACTCCTCAACCCTATATTTCTATGGATTGAACTGCCTTCCAGGCAGAGTCACAGATTTGGGGTACTGAGTGTTCAGATTCACGTATCTAATTTTGTCTTTTCCCTTAGCAATTGATTTGATAAACAACCTACTTCAAGTGAAGATGAGAAAACGTTACAGCGTAGACAAATCTCTTAGTCATCCCTGGCTGCAGGTAAAAACAATTTGGCAATCTTCATTTGAGCAGTTCATGGTGATTTGTCTTACTTAATGAAACCACTCTTAAAAGATCATCAGATTCTACATGTCTTAGGGTCTTATGGTGGTTATTTCACCTTTTTGTAAGGTGAGCGTAACACATTATATTGTCAAATATACTTTATTTTTAAAATGTCCACCAAAAAGCTTATATTTTATATTGAAAAGATCAGATATGCCATTTTAAATGTTTGGTTTTATTCCCCTAAAAGCCATTGCATAGATTTATCAAAAGATACCCCCAAACTTCAGACTAGAGAGAAGCTTTAGAACAATTACTGTAAAGGGAATGAGGGGTATAAGTAACTTTAGAACAAATGTAATCATAATTAATCTCAGCAGCTATTAAATTATCCTGACAAGAGTCTAAGCACGTTTCCCATTTTGAGGAGTAAGGTGTAATCAGATTAATAGTTACTATTAACCACTTCAGAGGGCTGAGGCAGTTTTTTTTTTAAATTTTGGAAGAGTTACTTCCTTCATGAGAGAGACTAAATCTGAAAAAGTATCTTTGACGTTACTAACCTAAAATATTACAAATGGAACTTATTGTATAGCTAATATTTGAAATGGCAACCCACTCCAGTGTTCTTGCCTGGAGAATCCCAGGGACAGGGGAGCCTGGTGGGCTGCCGTCTATGGGGTCGCATAGAATCAGACACGACTGAAGCGACTTAGCAGCAGCGGCAGCAGGGGGTAGGGGTTGTCAATTACGTAACTAGGGTGCCAAGCAAAAAAAACCAAGTTAACAGTGTTTTGTTTCTTTTACTGTTCATAATCTTCATTTTTTTCCCCCAGGACTATCAGACTTGGCTTGACCTTAGAGAATTTGAAACTCGCATTGGTGAACGTTACATTACACATGAAAGTGACGATGCCCGATGGGAAATACATGCATACACACACAACCTTGTATACCCAAAGCACTTCATTATGGCTCCCAATCCAGATGACATGGAAGAAGATCCTTAGTTACCAATGAGCTAACTTCAATAAGGAAGCATTTCATGTTATGGACTGGCATTTTGCTGCATAACTGTTGTTCTTTGTATGCTGTCCTCTGAAAGGATGCAAAGATATGGAAAACATAAGGAATCAGTGACACCAATACTGTAGTTCATACTGAGGAGGTACAAGAGGGTAAACTGAGTCATAAAAACACATAATGGAATCCAAGACGAAGCTTTTCATAAACTTCTACAACATAAGCAATAACTGGTTTTTGTATTTTTTCCTTACCGTTCATTTTAGTACAATAGTAGCACTTAATTTATCTTCCCTTTCCTGTTCTTACATTATTTTTTTTTTTAAAGGAGAAAAAAGGCAAGCTAGAGTCCAGTTATTGAATAGCTTGATCAATTCATACAAGAGTTACACAGTTTATAACTAAACAGATTTGCATTTATGAGATAACTGAGAGGCTACCAACATGCCATTTCCTATATTCTTTAAAAATTTGTTTAACTGACCACAGAGGCACTGAGGGGTTTTTCCTAGATGCCAGGAAAGGGAGTGCTGAACGCGTTTACCCTTCCCTTTTAGGTCAGTTAAACTGCAAAACAATAGTATCACTCTAACTTCTTTGGGGTTGAAATTCTGAATAATGCTCTTTAGAACATGAAAAGTTGTCACCTTTTGTTTGTATGTCTCAACAGTCCCTGAGATTATTTGGGACAACTGATACACAAAACCAGGAGGAGGAACTGCTGGTCCAAGTGCTGAGTTGTTACATCTTCCTGTAGTTCAACTCTGCTGCATACATTCCCATTGATGCTGTTGTGATGCCACAATTAGATTCCAACATTTAATGGGTACAGATCTGAACTCTAATCACACAATTTCTCTTTACATGGGACTGTATAATTTGAGGAATAAAATTAAATACACGCCAAAAGTAGGGACAATGCAGGGTCAGTTAATGCTATAGGAAAGAGTAACAATATTCTTTTTTTCTTCCCTTAGCTTAGTAGAAGGCTTTACAGATATCTGGAATGTTTTTAAATCAATTATTTTAAGCAGTTTAGGGGAGTGGGTGGGGTGGAGCATGAAACAATTTATAAAGAGTAGGGCTGTATTATCAGCTGAGCAAATGAAAGAATGAAATAAGTATTTTTAAAAACACTGCAGCTCTAGCAGCCAGCTAGAGACAGTTTTTGTACCCTAACATATTTAAGAGGTTAGACTTTTTCATAGCTTTTAAAAGTTACTAATAGTTTCCCCAAAAAAGTTAAAGATCTAGGTCCACTTCTAAAAAATCTAGGGGCTTTGTGTTTCTTGATTCCTAAATAATCACTGTAAAATAATCACTTTTTCCCCTCCAAAAAGAGAAAATGATGTGAAGCCCAAAAAATCTGGCTCTGCTCTTTAACTATGTTGACCTTCGCAGGTAACAACCTGACTGAGCTTTGAGCTCCTCAATCTGTAAGATAAAGATTATAATTCTTGCTTCTGTCTTCCTCGATATTGTTGTGAAGATCAGATATTTAAAAGCTAAAAGTTATAAAAGTGTTAAGTATCATTGCCCATGGAATTTGAGATAGCAGAAGAAAAGAATGTTCTTGTTAACAGAATGAGAGGGCCTTCAGAGATCCCTGAAGCTACTCCCTTGTGTAGGGCTAAAAACACCCCTGAGAGAATGAAAGCAAACACCAGTGCTCCTCTGTTCTGAGCTCTTTACATGTTTTTCCCTCACAGTAGACATGGATAAGTCATTACAAACTTTGTCTCACAGGTAAGGACAATGAGGCACAGGAAAATTAACTAGCTGCCTAAGGTCACACAGTTAGGATGTGGGTTGGAATCCAGGCAGGGTGTCTCCAGAGTCGTCCTTACTGCTAACCGTTCTGCTATACTGCCTACCGTTAGATATTCCCAGAAGACATTCCACAATGTCTCTCAGTATTTCTTCTCATACAGGAATTTCACCCTCATACAGGAATTTTAAAAACTAAAAGCAAATTAATTATGCAGAACCTTTGGGAAATGTATTTTCCCTGTGATGGGGGTAACTTCCCCTAATTTCTCTAAGTCTGTTTATACAATCAGTGTGCTCAAATGAAGTAATTTCTGAGTCACTAGGTACCCTATTGTGGTTTTACTGCATAAGATAAAAATTAACTGGAATGCTGTTTGCTATACTTACATAAAAACTTTACAAGCCATAAAATTAATTGCACTCTTTGTTTTTGTTATTGAGAAGTTTTCTTAGAAAAAATTGTAAAGGCACTGTCAGATAATTTGGAATTGAGTAATTTTCTCCAGTTACTGTATAACCTACATAACCTTTTTTGTCTTGAAGTCATCATGTTTGTATAAGAAATAGTTTAGACAGAAACATTTGATAATGTATACAAAGTCTATAATGACACTGTTTAGTACATTTTTAATTATATCCCACTTTTTGTAAATATCCTCAAAGAAGTTTGATAATAAAATTTATTTCCATATCACTGTACTTTTCCATGTGAAAACCTGAGCTAGTAGAGGTATCCAAATAAAATTGTATTTGGTTGTGTTATTTTCCCAGGCTTTGGTGAGAGAACTGTTTTGGAAATAGTATTTGTAAATGAAACTAATGCTATATTTAAGAACACAGATTTTTTTTTTTATCTGACTAAAATAAAAAACAACTCATTATTACAATTTCATACAAAATTTGAAGTAATTACCTCAAGGTCTCATTTCTTGAAAGTTTGGAATAATTAAAAGTTTTTCAGAAACCGCCATCAAATATTCAACTATTGCAACTGCCAAAAGACTTAAGTAAGTTAATTTACTCTTTTTCTAGGTTTTAAGAAGCACTGGCTAACTCTTTCCCCTTAATCATGAAAACTATTAAATAACTGGGAAGGGCCAACTATGGACATTTTCATTCAACACTCTGCCAGTGAACTTCCAGTATAGTTAAGCTATAAATTGAAGACATATAGCTAATATTCTTTTCTTTTAACCTCTCAAATTTGTGTGGCTATTAATATAATTCTTCAGAAAGTCCACGTCTGCTATTAATAAAAATTTCTGTGAACCAAAAGAATGGGAACTTACAGAAATAAATCTTGACAGTTATCTGAAAATGAGAGAATTAACTAATTTTAGAAAATTATTCCTCCTAAGTAGTCTGCATTTACTCTCATTCATATTTTAAGTACATGTCAGGTTGATTGGTTCTACTATGACTTTAAAATTTTTTTAATCTCATTTTGTTTTTAATTATAAAATTCACAGAAGCATACTGTAAAAAATTCAAATACCAAAAAGGAGGAAAATTAAAAAAGAAAGTCTCTTCTCATCCCTCAAACCAGACTGGCAAATTTCATAGTGATTATTGGGAGCTCATAGCAAATATAAGGCCTACCTCAAGAAAAAAGAAAAATTTCAAGTAAACAACCTAATCTAACATCTAAAGGAATTAGAAAAAGAACAAGGCCCAAACTTAGCATATGGAAGGGAATAAGAGAGGAAATACAAAGTGCAGAAAACAATAGAAAACATCAATGAACCAAGCACTTGTTTTTTGAAGATAAAATTGATAGGTCTTTAGCCAGGCTCATTGAGAAGAGAGGACCCAAATAGAATAAGTGAAAGAGGAGAAAAAATACTAGAGATACCAAAAAAAAAAAAAGAGAATACCATGAATAGTTATGTGCCAACAAATCAGACAACCTAGAAGAAATGCACAAATTTTTAGAAACTTACCCCACCAAGACTCAATCAAGATAATCTGAACAGACCAATCATTGGTGGTGAAATTGAACTTGCAATTAATAAAAAGTCCAGCAAACCAAAACTCCAGGCTTCACAGAGGAATTCTAAACATATAAAGAAAAGCTAATACCTATTCTCAAACTATTTCAGTAACTGAGGAGAATGGAACACTCCCAGATTGATTCTACAAGGCCACCATTTCCCTTGTACCAAAACCAGATAAAGACTACAAAAGAAAATTACAAGCCAGTATCTTTGATGAATAAAGACACAAAAATCTGCATAAAGCAGCAAACTGAATCTAACTATACACCATGATCAAGTGGGATGTATTCCAGGGACACAAGGATAGTTCATTATTTGCAAATCATTCAGTGTGATCAACATTAATAAAAGGATTAAAATCAACACGGTCATCTCAACAGACAGAAAAAAGTATTTCACAATATTCAATAGTCATTCATGATAAAACAACAAAACTGATACAGAAGGAACTTATCTCAACATAATAAAGGCCATTTAACATCATACTCGGACTTCCCTGGGCTTCCCTGGTGGCACAGACAATAAAGAATCTGCCTGCAATGCAGGAGACCTGGGTTCAATCCCTGGGTTGGGAAGATTCCCGGGAGAAGGGAACAGGCAAATCCACTCCAGTATTCCTGCCTGGAGAATTCCATGGACAGAAGCCTGGAGGGATACAGTCCATGAGATCACAAAGTCAGACACACCTGAACAACTTTCACTTTTCTTTCACTTCAGGACTTCCCTGGTGGCGCAGTGGATGAGAATCTGCCTGCCAATGCAGGGGACATGGGTTTGATTCCTGGTCCAGAAGATTTCCACATGCCATGGAGCAACCAGTTCTATTTAATCAGCCCCCTGAGAATAGCCAGTTGTTTCCAGTTGTTATTAAATCAACCAGTATTCATATTTACACTTTAAAATAAAACTATAACAACCAGCTTTATTAATTAGAGGATACTCAATAATTTGTTTCATTAAATTGAGAACACACATTTCTACCAAGAATCAAATACAATCTTAAAAGATCAACTTCCAGTGGTACTGTATGGTTTAATTTTATTGGCTATGAAGAGAGAAAATATTTTAATACTAATTTTACCTGTGATATATAAAGCATGTTCCTTTTATTCTAGTTTCTTAGGCCAACTTGGGGGTGAAAAGTCCAAACTGAAATGTCACCGCCAAGCAAGTTCACCAAACCCAGCTACAGGTGATGGAGAGGGTTTTGACTGACGTGCATT